GTATTATCAATATTTAATCGATAAGAACATTGGATATTAGTTTAAATTTGATTTTACATGAAGACCTGTCTTAAAATATATTTCATATTACATTTATTAAAAATTTCTCTAAAACTTACATTAAATAATTCGTAATACAAAAATATAGTATATATGAGTTTACATTTTGTGCCCATCAAGAAGCGTAGTTGCGGATCTTAATAACGATACAACGCTGCGTAATTCTGATTCCTTATAGCTTCTTTAGTTGTTTTGCTTTCTCTTTCGGAACCGGCATGCTCTAATTCGTTCGAAGCCGTCCATCCATCTATAGATGGTTCTTGCCATTGATTTGAGACTCTTTGACGCTTTTCTGAATCTTGACTTTTTCTATTTTTTGAATTATAATTGAATCAGAATCACAAATGTAATTTACTAAATCAGAAGAAATAAAAAAAAGGATATATAAGCAAACATACTTTTTTCTACAGATTTTATATCTTTGCAAATAATTTATAATATAATATATTCTTCAATAAATAGAATTTTATGTATGCGTATATATATAGATATATATAAAAAATAATTATATATTGAATAAATCAATGAAAAATATATAATTTAAATTTTAATAATCCGATATAGTTTGATAAAATCATCTAAATTGTTCGTTTTGATGCTATATAATTTTATTTATTACATAATTAATATAATTCTTAAAATAAATATAAATAATATCTGCAAAGTTGAGAGTATATAAAAATATAAATCACTCTTTTGTAATTTATTGGAAATATAATATTGTCAGTATTATAAACTCGCAAATCTTTCTGCAAAAATATCTATGAATAATATTTTTTAATTTCTTTAAGCAAGAATGACTCCGTTATTTCATTTATCTCCACAAATCTTTTATTGGCTCGGCTGAAATAATAAATATCCCCGGTATAAATATCGAACCACAACGCATGGATGTGCAAATCGTGTCTCTCTAAACGTTTCTTCAAGAATCCATACGATGCTATATTTTGAAGTTGTTGCAATGTATTGATCTGCAACAAAATAAATTCAGATAACAAAGTTATAATATATAAATTACATATCTTTTACAAATAATTTTTCACGACAACTAACTTGCGACAACTTGTCTTCGATAGCGAATTTATCTTCCGGATCGATATAAGCGACAAATTTTCGAAGTGGCGTCTCAGCCTGAAAAATAATTGGCTCGTGGAAACCGGTGACTTCGAGATGCTGAAATTTAGCCAAACTGCTACTAGCATGCGCACACAGCCACGCTCTTAAGGGAGATATTCTTCTATTCGTCTAAAAGTTTCGGATAGCATTACGATTTTGCATATACAAAAATTAACCGCGAAGGATTTTCATTATAAGCGTAATATTATGAAAAAAAAAAACGTACTTGTGATGCAAATTCATCGTCTCGTAAAGCGTAGAGCAGATTCATCGCTTTGCAGTCACTATGACCGCAAACGATAACATGCCTTATATCATTTACCACACAACCAAGCTCCAGTGCCGCTGATTCACACATAGTAAATTCGTCCACAAAATGTTGCGAGTGTGGAACAACATTACCGGGATTTCGGACTGAAAAGGAAAATTCGATTAGGGACCGTCCGATTTTCTTTCGGCTTTTCATGTTACTCTCATAAATCGAGAAAAGCCGCACGTACAAAATATCTAATAAATTTAAAATATTTCAGAAAATACATCAATCTTTTACAGATATGCGTTGTATTAAAAGAACGACGATTTTTTATTTGGTTTACTTATATGTATAGCAAAAAATATATAAAAAAAACTTAATTTAAAAAATTAATTTGCATATATAATATTTAATTTATATTTTTAAAAATATATATGTGTATATATGAAATATTAATTCCAATATATGGGATTTGTCATGATTTTTTCTCTTAAAATGAAATATTAGGACAAATAAAAATACATACCTATGATATAATCGAAATTATATATTTAGAACTGATCGAAGTAAAAGACTATGATATGCGCGTGGAATATCCACAAGCAAAAGAGGAGCTGGATATATAATTAGGGTCGAAATAAATAATATTAACAAGAAAAAATAATTTGCGCACCACGCTTGGCTCTTAATTAGTCCGCTCCTCCTTTGCTTGCGAAATTATATTGTATCGATGAATATCGTACATGTCTCATTAGAGAAATCTTTGTCTTAAGAAGCATCGCATTAGAGGAAAAAAAATACACTGCCCTCGAAAAAAATAAAGAATGAAACAATAGCGATAATTCTAAAAACGTGCGCGCACGTATTATACATGGTGTTTCTTAAACATGTGTCAAAAATTCAAGGAATGATTCCTTGGGTCATATAATGAAAATTTGTACCTCTGATGATTTTTTGAAAATCGCTTCGTTTTGAAGATACACAGGGCGATAAAAATTTACAAGAAATTAAATATTTTATTTCATAAATATATTACATGTAAAGCTTATTAATCTAGATACTGTTCACAATAAAATGTTGAAAATGACTATCACCAGCTAGGATACATGAATCCAATCTTCTCATTGATTTACAAATTTATTGAAATATCCCAGGAGTGTTTTGAAGCAATTTTCGAAAAATCATCAGAGGTATAAATTTTCCTAAAATGACCCAAGGAATCATCCCTTGAATTTTTGACATGTGTTTGAGAAACACTCTGTATATGAACGATCGCGATAATGCTATAATAGATTGTCGTACCGACAAACATGTCCCCAACGTTTGTTTCCGTAAATCTAGTTGGGATCATCCGGGAGTCCATGCAGGTAAAGAACACTGCTTTCGGCTAGAGATAAGAGCAATAATACACATCAGATTACGAGTTTGCTGATGTTGCAACTATAACTGTATAGCTTGGAATTAGAATGGAAGATCTTTCGGCTAAATCTTTCATCATTTCAATGCTTTTTCCGCTAGATGTTTTAAAATATTCGAAATTTACACAATGAGGATATTATAACATTTTCTTTTTATCACTTTATTTCACTTATTTTTTCTTGAATAATTCTTTTTTATATTCTCAAAGGCATAATAGGGTCATGCAGCAAATTGGACATTATGTATATATTCTAGAGTATAGCAATTACTTTTATATTAAAAGAACCTTCAAATAAGAATCTGAATTTTTTATATCCGATTTAAATTTTTATTGATTGTGGTTTTGGTCAAAAATAGCGGAATCAATCGAAAATATTAAAAATTTCAGTGATTAAAAATTTTATTAAAAATATAAAAATTTAATAAATAATTTGAATACTATACTTTTATATTTAGAATACACTTTTAATTATATATAATCATCATTTTGTTGATAAAATTATCAGTAATGTTCAGATTTTTACCTATTATCTTGTTACTGTAATACCATTAATGAATAAGGTAGGTATTTCGCTTTATGAATATATAGTATTAACAGAGTATCGGTAAAACAGAATACATTGTAATCAACTAATATTACATCTTGTAATAAAATGTTCTGCTAAATGCTACGTGAATATATAATTTATATAAATAGACTGCGCAGTCCTATTGGAAATTTGACAATTTGAGCGAAAGAATAATTAGAGAATTAGATGCTTTTCTTGTCTGATTACGAAAAAGCGGTCGCCTTACATTTTCTTACTCACTCTTCCACTTTTTTACATCATTCCTATTAACTTCTCAGAGAATTTTACGACGAAGAGACATCTAAACTCATATCTCTGTCCTACAATTTTATCATTATAGTTTTGTGCAGTCTATTTATATAAGTATCTGTACACGTGAAATATGACATTTGCGCGACATTTTATAATATCGTACCACATTAGATATATGAGTAAGTCGCTAATCAGTTATTGGTCAATCAATGGTTCAAAGTCATAGTTCTAGGTCACTCGAGACTGCATTAAAAAAAAATTTTAATTGTATTTAATTAATTAAATTTATGATAATGTATATTAAGTAAATTAATTTGCAATTTTAGTTTAGGTGAATGGCCCTCGATTATACTTGTATGTAAAAATTGTATGTATGTATATATATATATATATCAACAAGTAACACGTGGATTGCTGATGTTACACCGCGAGTACGTATATATGCACCGAAAAATCATGCGAAATTTTTTCCTCAATATTATACGAGTGTACCTCAGGATGATCTCGGACTTGTTGAAATTGTTTCACCATTCCTTCCCGGTGACACTTCCTGTACTTCATGATTCCTTTGAGTATTCTGTCCATCGTAGCATTCGAGCACTATGAAATATACTGTTAAACATTTATTTTCCCGAAGATAGAGCAATGATAGTTCACAATTCCGCCATTTATCGCTTCAACGGCGGGAAAATTTAATTTCCCTTTAGACAAAATTTCTTCTTTCAAAATAAACATGATCTTTAGACCCGAATATTTCGAATATATATGAGTACTCTTACAATAAATCTATTTTTAATTAAATTAAAATATTAAAAATATATTAACAGAAAAAGCAAAAGCACTAGATACTTTCTCATATTAAATGTTATTTTTAGTTCATATTGGGAATATTTATATGGACTTTATCAAAAGGCAAATATATATTCGACGTTTAAAAAAAATGTTAGATTTTTTATTTTCACATTTAAAAAATACACTTTAATCTGCTAAATCTCTTACACAAATCTTCTATTTAGTATGATGTAAATACACTATAGAACACCTATCCTATGCAATTGACATCTATTATTTATCAATTTTACATTTATCAATTTGACACTTTAATGCAACAGACTATACATTGATTTAAAATAAATTTATAATTTGAAAGAAAAGAATTCTTAACAGTAAAATCAATCAATGAGTGCACAATTAAGGATCAATTTTTATCAAAAACTTTTAGTATTACGAGTTATTTAAGATCTAAAATCTCAGGTGGACACTCAGTCTTATATTGTTATATTGTGAGATATAGCATATTACATGATATATGCAGATACAAAAGAAAGACGTATGATTATAATGATTCATTTATTACTAATATTCGTTGGATGTTATTGCAAGTCGAATTATCATCAGTTCTTAAGTCAAAAATAAAAAAATGATTTAAAATGGGACGAAAGGGAGAATTGCGCATACAAATACTCTTGCATATACAAGTTCTACATTGATAAATTACAGACGTATTTATATCATATTCATATATATAATATAAATGATAAACTCATTTTATAATATATTACGATCTGAAATATCGATAACCTCTGAAATACCGATCAGCTCCTGCATCAGCCTCTTTCAGACATGTCAATTATATACTTACTTTGTCATAGACGCTCATATTTAAGAAAATTGTATATTATAAAGTATATTTCATCATCCGACTTTCTTGACACGTGGCATCACATACTTCATCATCTTAACGGCACAATGCAAAACTCTGATTTTCGTAAATTCAACAGTTATTAACAGATTGGACCCGGGTGACGAGGCGCCTGGGTCGCGCCGACTTCTATCTGCTTAATGCTGAGCTCTGACTAGCGCGTTCCAATTTTTCGAAGTGCTTTCGCGCGTTGCGTATGTTAATTAATGTCGCCGCGGATGCTAAAAGAGCGTGCTTGTTTTAACAACACAATTTAAAAAACAGCGAGTAAATTTCAGATACTTACGTATAGTTGGATCGGACATGATGACCATTACATATGTATTCGAGGTAAATATATCAATAAAAGCTGCAAAATTGGTATTTCTAACTTCCATGCTTTGAAACTGTGCCGCTAATTTACTGAAAAATTAATAACATCTTGAATATTGCATTTCTTACTAATATCATCTCCTTGTATGCTATACCATACTTACCTACAACTCAATTTAAACTGCTTTATTATATTGGAAACTTTTTCAAAACGATGAACATCCCTATGAAATTGTCGTTGACAATGACTTATTACCAAAAAGGTCGCTCTTTCAAATAGAAGAACTTCATCTGCATCAATAATATTGGCAAACTGATTCAAGCTTTGCTCTAGTTCTTTTACATTAGGTATCAACATGTATACAATAGACGACCACGCCCTAAAATAATTCATTATTATTATTATTGGTTTGTAATAAGAATATTTGAAATATTGCACATCTTATAAAACTTTATTTAGTGTAATGTAGTTAATAAACTTGATATATTATAATACATACCTGTATAACGTTTCATCCCATATGCTAGTTCTGAAACAAGTGCATTCCAAAGGCAAACTCAGTCTTTTTAGATCTTCCTCTCTCTCCCTGAATATATAATCACGTTGGTCCTCTTGCACAAGATCCATTTTATGAACAAGACAAAATATTTTTGCTTCTGGACTATTCTGTAGTATCGCTTCTAGGCAGCTTTGGTAATAGTGCATATCTTTGTCCAATTCTCTTGATTCCACATCAAAAACGTAAATTAATACCTCCACATTCCTGAATATGTTATCACGCTGCGATGCAAAGTAATTTTCCATAAATGCTTCTTGGCCACCACAATCCCATAAATTCAGCACCAAATTACCAAGGAAACGAACATGAGAATGTTCCACATCAACTGTAATCAATTATTTTTATTTAATAAAATCTTATAAGAATTGTAATTGTATTTAACATTATATTTGAAATGATATAGTTACTAACTTGTTGCTCCTAGACGATGAGTATCTCTTGCGATATAATTAGCAAAAATAATACTACGCATGCTCGTCTTTCCAGAGCCACTTTTGCCCATCAGCAGTACCTGAATAAAATATACAGAATATTATATTTATATACAACATTTTTACTTCGATGGAAGTATATATGATTGAGATGTATTAGTGCATTAACATGTTGATCATGCAGAAATTGAGTATTTCAGGCCACACATTCCTCGAGAATGTATTCAATTATTCAGTTATGTGAATAACATTGCAACACAATTCTCTGATGGTTTCAGAAACTTAAATATTCGTGGCCCAAGAGGTGGTTAACATGTTAATAATAAAAAAAAAAAAAAAAAAAAAAACGTTGTATTTATACAATAAATTTATATCTCTACCTTCTTCTTCATCTTGGATAAATAACGTGCGTTTCAGTATTTTCAATTTTTGCTACAAAGATTACAGATTTGATGAGAAAGATATCTCAGCACTGACTAACTCCGCAGTAACTGGCTTATCAGCTGTTCCGCCTTGGAAAAGCAAGAATCGCACAAAACCGCATAGCAGTCGAGTACATTCATCAACACAATGCGGTTACATGAAGAATTGGATATATGAGATGCGAACGCGAAATGTTGACAGATGTGATTCCAAGGACGGAAGGGGAATCATTTGTCACCATCTTGGATAGGACCATGGACACATTGATTGATTATTATTATTGGAAAAATAATTAAATATATTTATAATGCAGTCATTCTTCTTCATTTTTTGAAACGTCAAAATCAGCTGTTTAATGTCAGATTATTGAAAAATAATAAATAATAGGAAATTCGAAGTAAAATCAATATATTTGGAAGATTTTAGAAAATTATAGAATATATAAATATATATTTTATTGGATATTTATTTTTTAATAATTTATTTTAATAATTATTGGATATTTATTTTAATAATTTTTCTTAGCTTGAAAACGTGCTTATGCGCACGTCATAGAAACGGATCTTAAGAAATCGATATTCCTTTGCGCTGGGCGTATCTAGGTACACTGAGTCATCACAGGTCGGGAGAGATCGTGGTATTTAATTTTAATTTGACATAATAAACAACTGTTGTCCGAGTAAAAAAATGGGAAGTTAGCGTTATTTTCGGAAAGTAGGTAAATTATAATTTTTATCGAGACTTGGCGATCAGCTGAAAAAGCATGGACCCGATTAAATCACCTGACGTAATTTTTTCACAGGACGATTAGCCATTAGCACGTCGGCGATGCTGCACGTACGTTCGCGTTTCGCGATTTCCGACGATCGTCCTGGATATCGGTTTTTGTAAGATCATTCATGCGAAATATGACATTGATCTCCGTGCAAGAGATACATTTAATGTCGAACGTGCTTTAAATGCTCCATGAAATCGAATTGAAAACGACGATTTTGTACTCGTCCTCTCTCGTTAATATTTAAATCTCCACTTTCTCAGAATGGTTCTGAGTCGTAACGATAAGAGAAAGAGGAAAGAAGGAGATCTGGTGGATCTCATGGAACCACTTTCCGAATCTCCAAAAAGGTAACGTTTGTGTATAATCATTCCTAATTGCAGCTGTCACATATTATTGTCATAATATTACTCAATTTAATTATTAAAAATAAAATACATGCTTTTAAAAATATATATATTTGTAATGATACTTATGCATATTTTTAAGTAGTAATATCTAAGAAATTGCCATAATATTAACTTGTAATTTTTCACTCCTTAGGACCAAAGTTCACGCACAAAGAAAGTTTGCACAAGGTGCAAGTACAGTGTTCAATTCATCACCTACACCCATCAAGGACAAAGAGAAAGCTAAACCTGCTATGATTAGGGAATTAATAACTCATAAACGTCCAAATACAGAGGACTTTCTAACATTTTTATGCTTCAGAGGTTATTATTATATTTAAATGTAATATGAAATTTTTTCTATATTAGATCTACATTAGATCTATTATTCTAACTATAAAAATCTATTTTATAACAAATGATATATTGTACTATACTTTAAAGAATGGATGTAGGAAAATTTTTGTATCAACTAAAGTTTTTTATCAACTAAAACTTTTTCTAAAATATACAATATATATTTGAAATCTAAGAGTATTAATATCAGTTGTTAAAGAAACTGTGAATTAATGTAAGTAAATTATTATGATAGATTATTAAAATATGTTTTTAAATAAATATATTTTTTTCAAATCTAGGAACATCCATTTTGCCACCCAATTTAAATTTCTTCAACATGAGCACCAAAAAAGAGAAACAGAAACCTAAACCAGCTCGTGCTTCTACAGATAAAATATCATCCTGTACTAGTATTTCTACAGAGGTTCAGAAACAAGACACATGTCAGAAGAATGTAACAAAAGTAAAGTCTGTTGTGCCAGATAAAAAGAAAGTGCCTAGTACGATACACAAAAGCATTACCAAACTTAAAACAGCAACATCTACAGTTCAAGCGCTTAAAAAGAAATATCAGGAGCAACGTCTTGCTAAACAAAGGATCAAGAATAAATTCAAAGCCACATGTGTTATGAGAACACGATCGTGTACAGAGAGATCTATGTTGAAGGCTGGTATTCAACTGGCACCAAGAAAATTTTTACCTAGAATTGAGACGAAGAGACACGGCTTGAGAAGTGGTGTACTGTTAGATAAAAGCAATAAACCCTTATCAAAGACGAAAATCATGTCATCAAAACCAAAGAAGAAAATTAATTTGAAATCGAAAAATAATGATACATCATACACAGATGTGTCGTCCGAAGATGAGAAGGATGATAAAAAGGATAATGAGGAAGAAGAATCACCTGTGGAAAAGTCGACATCGCAGATAAAACGTAACATACCAAAAGGTATTCAGAAAAAGATTTGTACCAGAAGCAAATCGGAAATGAGAAGAGTTACGAGATCTCACAGTGGTATAATCTCTCCACAAAATCCCTCTAGGAGACCAACGAGAAAAACTAAGGAAGCAGCCGCTGTTTATATGGAAATTCTTGGTAGAAAATTAGTGAGCCCGGATCTAGAGAATGATGATAATCTTTCAGTCGAAAGTTTTCCTGAACTGCCAAATGCTCGTAGAATAGCGCAAACGGAGAATGAGCTTAAAGCCAAAGTAAAACAGAATAGTATGAAAACTACTAATAAAACTAAGGATTCTAAGGACTCTAAGGATTCTAAGGTCAATTCTCTTAACAATAACGGTAATAAGCGATTGGATAAGAGCAAGAATAATAAACTAATTCTAAAAAGCAAACGTCTGATGAAAGTGCAGAAATATTGCGAGGAAGATAGCGACGAGGAATCTGAAAGCTCGGTAGAAACGAACAGCACGAGACCTATTACTAGACAGAGTCTTGTAGGGAAAACCAGTGACAAACCAGTCGGTAGGAGTCTCAGATCATCCTCCAAAAATACAAATGTACAAGCAGAAATAACACAAAGCAACACAAATAACAAACCGAAGATTCCAGTTCAAAGTATGAAATCTGCTAAGGACAAATTTGTGATGAAACGTAAACGTGAGCAAAATCTACCTAAAACATCATCATCAGATAAGATTAGTGGATCGAAGCAGAAGAGTTTCAAAAATGATCAAAGCAAAAACGTGGAATCCGAAGAAGAAACACTGGGAATGCTGCTTAATAAAATGAAGAAGAAAAAGAAAACGATGGAGAAGACGAAGAACAGATCTCCGATAACGTTAATAATGTGAAAAATGGCGAGACAATTTCCAAAGATACGCAAAACACGTCTACGAAACCGGATCTGCCAAAAGTATCGGACGATGAGGAATCGTTTCGCGGATTTACCAAAAAGGCGATATCAAAAGTTTTGAATTCGTGCCACGCTGTTGCTAATGTTAATTTACTAGAATCAGAATCCAATGACAAACTGAATTTACATAAAACAGTAGACGCGCCGAATCAAAGCACAACTTCGCAAGAAAATAATCAAGAAAAGGCTTCATTGGTCGAAGTTGCTTCCCCAGTCGCAAATGCATTGAACGACGAAAGTACGTCCGTGCAGGATCAAAAATCAATATTAGATCTGTCCACCAAGACACAAAGCTCCTTATTACCGTCGATCGAACAGGTACAGAACAAAAAATGTAATCATGAAAGTGAAGTTTCTCCTAATCTTATAGATATGCCGTTGTCAACTCTGCATACGAGAAAAGAACGGGTGAACATGTCGACCGAGCAGATAGAAAAGTGGCTGAACGAAAGCTCGCTTGCGAAAGAAGAGAGCAAGCTGGAGATGGAGAATGTTTCCACCTTTAGATACGAACCTACGCCAAAATTGAAGACGGACGTCTCGCATCTGTCCATCCCGGCGAAGATCCAGCATCTAGTACGTCCCGTCAATGTAACACTTTCGAAATTAACGGACAAGATAAGTTTCAAGGACCGTACTGCGATACAGACCAGAAATGTGATAACAGCAACACCCGATGCACCTAATGTCGAAGTCGCGAAATCGCAGAATACTACCAATAAAAATAAGCCTAATACTGAAGAAATTGTAAGAAATGTTAAGAATAAGTGCGAAAAGAAAGAGACTTCGAATAAGGAGACTTCAGCTATCGTTGAAGATACTAGCGATACTGTGTCGAAGTCGGATCAAAACTCTACGGACGGTTCTATAGAAAAGAAATCACCGACGGAGAAGAAAATCTTTCAACCGCGAAAATCCTTTATACCCAAGGTTAGGCAACGCAAATTGGTGATTCCGAATGCGAATGCGTTTTCACCGGAAAACGAGAGTAGCGTTTACGCATTCGAAAGCGACACCGAGGTTCCCATCAGTACACCCTTCCGGAGGAAGATTAAGGATACCCCGAGCTCGATTAAGGATACTGCTACAGCTACGGAGGCCAAAGTACTTGCTGAAACTGATAAATCGAATGATAAATCAATCAAAAATAATTCCAGAACATCATCGGACGACAAGGAGAAACCGTCGAAGAAGGAACAGGAGACACAGGGTCCGATAAGTACAACGAATACGACGCTGAATAAATTTGAACTGCCCAAGAATTTCGCAAACTTGACCAACGTCCAGGTATTGCCGCTCGATAAGATCAAAACGAGCTGGAGCAACGTAAATTGCAGCGCTTCTATAGCAGTCCAGGTGAATCTTGATGAGACTACCCAGGAACAAGAGAGCGACACGAATCAGCAGAAGAGTACCGAGATATCTACTCAAACCGAAACGAGCAACGAAAATGACGACGACAACGACGGACAGTTGTTTTACATTCCACTGCAAGCTGTTACGAGAAGCGGCCCGAATCTGGTACAAGGGCAGCAGTTGATACAAGGTGTGGCTGTCAAACTCGGCACGGAAGGGCCGACCGGTCCTAATCAGAGAGTACTCCTTCGGGCAAAGTTGGTCACCAAGCCGCCTTTATCCGTAGCACGTTGTCCTCCGATAGGAACGGTGCAGCCGACAACGCGTACTCCACCCAATCCCAATCTTACAGTGGAACAGCAACAACAAGTTCCGTCGACCTCAACGTCTACAAGCGTTTCGACCGCGGTGGCAAGTACGCCGGAGACTCAGCCTACCTTACAGGTGAAGAATGACACCTCGGCATCGAACTCGGCGAATCGTCAAACTGTTAGTACGAGCGCAAACAATTTGGAAAAACTCGCCAAGTCTCCAAAGTTATCCAGGGAAAGGAAAACTTCTATCGATTCGACAAAGAGTGGCAAAAGGTATATTTAATATTAGTATAATAATTTTGATATTAATATAATATTAATATATTTAATAATATATTTAATATTATATTTTTAAAATATTAGCGAGAAATCTGGTTATATAAAATTACATATAACATACATAGATATATATGTATATGTTTATTATTTTATGAAATTCTCAAACTTTGCTAATATGATTGATAAATATGATTTTCTAGGACTCAAATGAAATCCAAACAAAAAGGATCTGAACTGTATTCAAATAATAGCACAACATTCCCAAGTGCAAAGAACACAAATAATGAGGCTCGTGTAATCGAGGCACCGACGTTTCATCCAACGGATAAAGATTTTCAGGATCCTCTGGAGTATATAGACAAAATAAGACCGACTGCCGAGAAGTTTGGAATATGTAGAGTCGTGCCTCCGCCAAATTTTAAAGTAAATATTAAATAAAAATAATACTCTCTTAATTATTAAAATATAATATATATGAACTATTTACTACATACGTATATTAAGTACTACGATTGTATTAAACTTTTCTTTTAATCTTTTAGCCCGAATGCAAGGTGTCTGATGACATGAGATTCACAGCTTATAATCAATATGTACATCGCATGCTTCACAGATGGGGTCCTAATGTGAAAGAAATGATGGCTATTAAGAAATATTTAGCTACTCAAAGTATCACTCTGACTCAACCACCATGGGTAAAGTTTTATTTTATTTTCTAATATTGTATGTTGCATATTGTATAATTTAAGATTTTTAATTTAATATAATAATTTTTTTTAGATTGGTGGAATGGAAGTTGATTTACCTCACTTGTATCAAACAGTTCAAAATTTGGGTGGATTGAAAGAAGTTATTGAAAAGAAGAAATGGCAAAAGGTAGCAGATGGTATGAAGATACCTAAATCTGCACAAGATCGCGTTACTAAATTAGATGATATTTATTGCAAATATTTATTGCCATATGATACATTATCCCCGGGTATGCATATTATATATTATAAATAATTAAATTTTAAATATGTTAAAGCTTTTATATTATATAAATTGTTATTATATATTTATTATCATATACTTGTTTTCACAGAGGAACGCGGAAAATTGTTTGATGAGGTTGAAGCTGAATGGAAGAGAAAAGAAAGAAAAACTTTGCAAAGACAAGAAGCGTCATCTAATGATAATGATGAGGAAGACGAAGATGATAGTTCTGATGAAATTGAGGAATGTATTGTAAAGGTATGACACGCACAAGAAACTTTAAATATTAAATAAATATTAAATATATTTTGTTGATAATATAATTATTTAATAAAAACATTATTAATCATTAGCGCAATTATACACGATAGCTAAATTTATATATATATACTAATTACATATATATCTGTTAATAAAGGGAAGAAACATGCCATTGAATGCTTTTTACCGAATCGCCCGTAATACTCAACGCATGTGGTTTGGCGAAAATCAGCGAGGAAACGAAGCCGAAGGCGCTTCAGCCGATGAGGTGGAGAGTGCATTTTGGAAACATGTCGCCGAAAGGAAACGTCACGTTTGCGTACACGCGGCGAGCATCGACTCGAGCGGTCGTGGATTTGGCTTTTCCGTTGCCAAAAATAGTCCGTTCGCCAGACACGCCTGGAATCTCAAAGTACTCACTAATAATGCCGGATCAGTATTGAGAGCCTTGGGCCCGTTAATGGGTATGCAACTTATGGATAATATTTCACTGTTAATTTAATCTTTCACTGGATATATTTTCGTACAAGTCGTGTAACTCTCACTTACTTTTATAGGTGTAACCGTGCCAACGTTGCACGTGGGTATGTTGTTCAGCGCTTGTTGCTGGTATCGCGATCCACATGGTTTGCCATGGATAGAGTATCTGCATACAGGTGCTAAAAAGATTTGGTATGGGATACCTGACGAGCATAACAACAATTTCCGAGAAGCGCTCTCGAAGATGGTACCGCGATATTGTAAAAATAAGACTATATGGTTACCTTCTGACACTGCCATGGTCCCACCGGAGTTGTTGGTCAGCAACGGTGTACCGCTATGTCGCACCGTGCAAGAACCGGGACAGTTCATAATTGTATTTCCAAAAGCATTTACGTCAAGCATATGCACCGGTTATGTGGTGTCTGAAAGCGTATACTTTGCACAACCATCCTGGTTAGAAACAGCCGAGCAAGTATTCAAAGTATGTGTACAGATATGTACAGAGCTGTTTCTCTGAATTTTACAATGGTCTAGTTAATCATAAAGTATGATGTGCTTTCAGGATATACAAGACAGTTGTGAACCCTCTATCTTTTCATTCGAGAGGTTGTTATTTAATATTATTAATGATACCAGATCTCATATAGATATATTAAAACAGGTAAAATTAAAAATTTACACTATTACAAGATTATAATATAAAAAATTTTAATTGAGTTATTTTATATATTTCTGAGCATTTAATACATTTATATACCCCATTAGATATTACCGAGTGTGATCAAGATTCGCGAGAAGGAATTAGATTATCGTAAACTACTGGAAAACGTGGGTCTTAATAATAGAGAAAGATTGCCTCTTCCGGATAGTGGAAAAGGGAAGAAAGGAAAAAGAGTGAAAGAGGATGACGGCGATTTCGAATGCGAGACATGTAGAGCCAATTTGTTTGTCTCATTGGTAAATAATTCGCAAGATGATAGTGTCTACTGTTTGCCGCATGCATTGCAATTAATCAATCACAAAAAGCAGCTTCTGAAACATTGTACTCTAATGTACACCTATGATGAAGTAAGTATAACATTTTATTGTATTTAATTAATTAATATATTCTTTAATTATGCAAAGTATCAACAAATAATTTTATTTGAATCTTTGTTTACCAGGATGAATTAGATGGATTGATTCACAAATTAGAATGCAGGATCGAAGCCAAATCTAAAAAACCTAATCAAATAAAACAAAATAAATAAAAAAAAATAAGTTTGTTATTTAATTTATAAAAGATGAAAGTTTGACTATTATTTATTAATCGGCAGTAGAATAATTATTGGAACTAAAGAACGTGATTGCATTAGGTCTTACTTAATGATTTTATAATCGATAGAAAATTTCTTTATATTCATATACAATATGAATGAATATAATATATTAGTAGGATAAATGATTTTTTAAATAAAAATAAATGAAATTTTTTATTATATTATGCGATTTGAAATTCAACATTCTTTAAACAGCAAAAATAATCGAACTACATTATTATGATGTATCTCTGTAGTATAATTTTTTTACAGTTTATTTTTTTAAATATTTATACCAACTATAATTATTATTAAATATTAGAGCAAATTCCCAAAGAGGCAAAAAAACATGTATCCGTAGTTTTTAAAATTTACCATAATGTGATGATCGTATCTACTTGTCTTGACTATTTGTCCTAATTTAGATTAGAATACTAATAATTGGTTACAAGAGTAACATATATAATAATTTTGTAATTATAGATTATTATTTATTAAGGAGTCATATATACATTTAATAAGGTTTTGACAATAGAAAAATAAGGATATTGCAAAATATAATAAATTATTTATTAATATATCTGTGTCTGCGCGAGTTGAAAATAAATATAATATAATATATTGACACAGGAAATATATCTGCTATTTATATTTTATTTTACATATAGTTCTTATAGAACCTGCTTAAAATTTGACAAGTTGTTAAAAATTATATAATCTTTAGAGAAAACAAAGCAAAACAGAGTATCATTACATAATTTGTATTTTGTGGATGTTTATTATATATTTAATAATTATCTTTCTCTCTCTGTAATATGCAGATTGAGAAAATAAATTTGCCAAGATATATTCATATTGTTGTGCCTATATACAATATAGCTTTTTAAAGGATCTACTCAGAGTTAGAATCCACGCATAGATGAGAAACTTTCACATCTTTACAAAATATATTTGAATAGACATAATATAGATATAATCTTGGTTTATTTATATATCTTTGAATCTTCATGTGTACGATTACAGATTAAGTTTCGAAAAACTGCCAACTGATTTTATCGCTGCCGATTTCGATTTTAGAAAATAAATGCAGTAATTTTGATAGATATCAAATGCTCTAATTCTTGTTTTACATATATTAACTCGTCACTTTTCGCGAATCATCTTCCAAACAGTTGATCAGTTTTTCAAGAACCTGATAGAGTTGCTTTTTAGTTAATCACAACTTATTTTGACAATTACTAATAATTTAGAATGTTTAATATTATTGGATTAGGACGTAATGTAAAATATTTTTATCAAGTTCTAATCAAGTTAGAAAACTCATTCTCAAAATTATGAAAATTACATAACTTTATTAAATTTTTTGGTATAGTATAGATACATTATTGTTAACATAATGAATATAGTACAGGTAATCTATTTATCAGTTTATCGTGTTTTATATAAATATTATAAATATAATATATATATAATCTTTTTAAATAAATTATATATTTAAATTTTATATTAATGTAGATGTCAATTAGTATGTGTCATTCAAATTTATTGTGCGTTTATCATTAAAAAATTATTATATACACAAATATATGAGTTACCATTGTCTTATTCGGGAAATATATATCCTAAGTGTAGACAACTAGTGACATAATTTAAAAGAATTTATATTTATATCGCATATAGTTTGCATGCAAAGCTCTTGTTTATGATATTTAAAGTAATGAGATAGCAATAACATTAATAATTTTCTTCACACAGATAGTGGCATTTCTATATCCATATTGATACGACAAGGTTCCATTTCATACTTTCTATGTTTGTACTTTGCAATTTTCTATAATATTTATATATCAGACTTATGTAATAATAATACATTGAAATTTATCGGACAAACTTTTACATGACATTTTATATTACACATATATACTAATTAAGTCTTTTAAGCTTTGAATATCCCAGAATACACAAATATCTAAAAGAATCTTAAAGAACGTCTCAAAGACATCTTTTAGAAAATTTACAATGCACTTTGTCTCTGGTTATATTAAATTTTATGCCATTTATAAGGCATAAAGTTGTGATGTAAAATTTATAATGTTAACACTTTTATTGGCTGAAAAATTTACACTGGGAAAATATAAAATGCTGTAAGACATAGACATATATTGTTTTAGAATGCTTTGCTTGATAAAATAATTTCTTGTGTCATAGCTAAAAATTCATGATGTATATCACTGTTCCCTGCGTTGCAAAATATCTGACAGTATTTGACTCGAGTTATCACCCTCCCTCAAATCACCATCTTCATCCGAACTAAATTCAGCATTAAGAAGATTCATTAGAGACGTTGATTTTTCTGTTAATAACGGTATATTAGAATCAGTTCCCTCTTCATGTTTTGCACTGTTGCTAGTCACTTTTGATTGTAATTCCAAATTATCAATTACTTTCTTTCTATTGACTAACACCTTCTGGACAACATGAAGCATTATACCACCAAGGCACATTAACAATCCTATAGAGTTAAGGCCAGTCATTTGATCACCTTTCAATGCAAAGGCCAATGCTAATGTACATATTTCCTGTAAGGAACCAGAGAGAAGAACTGATAAGAAATAGAAATTGAAAAATTGATTATTATATTTAATATTACTGAATATTATATTTAAATATACAAAATATGTTTGTGAATCATAGTCTTTTCATAATTTATTAAAATTGTTAGTGTTTCACTGATTGTGAAAACAAAACGTGAGACATGTCATGCGATATGAGAAGAAATAATGAAATGTGAATGAATGTTATCATTTACCTTAAATACTCCCGAGATTGACAATGTCAGACTAGAAGTGTAAGTAACAACTAAAAATTCCATCACTTCCATACTAAATGCTAAAATGGCACCTGCTATTACAGCACTTGCAGTTAACAAAATACTACCGATATCACTCCAATCGGTAACTCTAATACCAGTGTATATTCTACTTCCTAAAATTTAATTTAATCTTTTCAATATCGTAAATAATAAAACATGCAACATATAACTAAATCATTAAGTGTCTAACAAAAATTTTTTATTGCACTTATATGAGAAAGATGTCAAACTAATTATAAAATTTTAACAAATAAAATCATCAAAAAATTTTAATGCGTGGTAATTGAGTTTTATTGATTAAAATTGTAATAAGATAAATAATATCTAGAACGTTTCTGCATTCACTTTTTCAGCGAAAACAAATAACATTCTGTTTTAATACATGATAAGATAAGATAATTCTACATATATTTTTCTACTTTCTCGTTATCCATGTCATTAATTATCAAAAAAAAAAATAATATATATATATATATATATATATTGATCAATAGGTGATCAAATTTAAAATCAATTATGTATGTAAAATGATGTCATATTGAAGATATGTTAATTCAAGGCATATGGTCAATTATAAAATTTTAATTAAAATTCTATATTTGAAATACTATGAATTACCTTCAAACCACACGGTTACAGATATTGCAGGTAATAACATCCAAGGTTGCATATAATACATCATATCTATCGGATCATGGAGACCAAGTTTGGATCTTTGCATAATGAGTTGTGTCATGGTCCATCGAATACCACTTGCAAACGAAGCTAAGAGACACAATAAAAATCCGAGAATACCAAATTGGGTAGATTTATAGGTGAACATTGCTAATCCTCCTGCTATCATCACCACTATCCCTACTAGAGACCATGACTACAATAAACGATAATTATTATTTGCCTGTTAGAAGGAAATATATAAAAGTTCTGATAAATAATTATATAATTTAAAAATAATTAAAATATTACATAATTTAAAAAATTCCAATTAAAAAACAAACCTTTTTCTCCAGTTTAAAAAGAAGAGAAAATCCAAGAATAAATATAATGGTGGTTGATTTGGTCATGGTGACCCTAGGAACAAATTCAACTGTATAATAAATAATAATGAACACTTTGTTTTATTATATAATTGCCATTATAATATTATTTATACTTACAAAGATATTGAAATTAATGAAAGTGCCCAATTGGATAAACCAATATCCACACCGCTGGCCATGCCAGGTATCATTATCGAATAAATTATATTTTGCCATGGTAGATTTATCCGTCTGCCAGTGCAACATCTTCTGATGCAGCGTATTAATGCAGATAGTATAAACTTTATAATCAAATGGCAAACTACTACTCCAAGTGGAAAATTAAATCCCTAAAAATATTATAACAATTATTAATAAACTTATATGTTTTCTTAAATATGTAGAAAGAATTTATTTCTATAAAGCAAGATTTTTTATAATAATTAAATAATTTTAAGTTGTATATAACTAAATAATAATAAATAAAAGCAAGTTATTAATTTGTTGTATATGTAATTACTCACATACGTATTATACAGCCATGGATTATAAAATGTAAGGCCTATTGATAAAATAAAGTAAGCAGAGATCAATAAACACACTTGGTATGCTTTCCTCCAAAATGTGGCTTCTGGCTTTATTACATTTTGGAAATCTGGAACATTTTGCGGCAAATATTCTGATGTTTCTACATCATCTCTAGCAATTTGATATTTTATGTGCGAACGTGTCATATTCTCTAAATTAAAAAATTCTGAAAAAATTTAGGAATATATATAATTAATAGCATATTTATTTAAAAAGAAAAAGAGTCAAAAAAGCAAAGAAAAATATATAACTCGTTTTATTTCACATATTGTGAAGAACAAAAAAACTCCAAAATCATTATCTCTATATCTTTCAGTCATGCTTTCTGCAACTTATCATGCTTTATGTAAAAATGCATATAAATAATTTGTAACAGCTACAAATATGTCACACATACGTTTCTCTATTATTATGTATAAATTGCTGTTTATAATACGATATAATAAAAATAATCTTTGCAAAAAAATTATGCAATGAAAAGATGTATCATAATCTTAAGAAATATAATTTTCAAAATAATAATTGTCTTCAAAAGAAATTTTTATTTTCTTTGTATAAATTTATTATTTTTTTATAATTTAAACTGACTTTACAAAAATGAAGCACATAGTACTGTTATTTCTACGCAATACAAGATACGATTAAAAAAAAGCGCAATGAATAAATCTTAAAAATTATGTATTTATAAAAAACATACCGTTTTATGGAGCCTTATGCATAAAGATATCATTAATAAATCATATTGCAGGAATTAATAAGTATATAAATTGTATAAAAAAATTAATTACATCGTCCATACGTCATTCACATCACGTTATTCTGAAAACAAAAATGAAGAAATTAAGATATTATAATCAAGAGATTATAATCGGCGATAAAGATGAAACATCGGAAATTTTTAATCGCTCACCTTGACTTTAGCGTAAGATAATGCAGTTCGACGAGACATAACCTGGAAACAAAAGTGATGCGACAACTGTCACTCACGACTCGCCCTCGCACGAGCTTAGAAAATAATTTTGGATCTTATCAGGAATGTCTGCCTACAACGCGGACGCGTCTACGAGGATGGTTCGCTTATCAGGTTGGCAACGACAAAGCAAACATGCTTGTGTTTTCGTTTTCTCTCCGATCACCTGTCACCTATGCGCGACCCACACGCGCTCACTAATAACGCGTAATATCGGAGCATAAAAAAAGGAGGAAAAAGGTAATTGCCACGCCAGCGTTGCAAAATCAACATCGAATATATATTATCGATAACTCTAAAAATAGTCGAAATATTTAAAATTGATAGAATATTCTTTTTTCAACGAATTAAAATATTTCATGTCAAATTTTTTATCTATAAAATCAGAGGCGTAAATTATTACTTCGTTAATTGGAACTTTTCTGTGTGAATAAATTAATATATTCTATATTCTATATATTCGAAAAAAAATAAACCGTATGAATTTTTTTCGTAAAAACGCGCGTTAAAAGTATACTTAAAATTAAGTATTACGCTGAATGTTCAGGAAAAATTTGCGGTTGTTCGAAAACGGAAATTAACCTTGTGATTATCATTTCAATGATAAGACACCGCGTGCAATTTGCAGTTTTGAACGATGATAGAAAAATGAAGCGTATATTATGGAAAAAATTCTGCTGGAATTTTTAACACTAATTTATTTTTGACTTCTCATATCGCGGCATTTTTAAGCGAAATATATATAAATTGAATAAATCAGAATAAATCGATTACTTTTTCCCTCTATTTTTTCATATTATTTCGTTAAACAACGCGATACTATTTGGTAAAAATATTTACGAACATATTTTTAACTATATAAATATATATATATATATTTATTTTTAGAAAAATTATAATAATATATATATATATATATATATATATATATATAAGTAAAATAAAATAAGGAACATACGATTATTATAAAAATTATAGAACAATTTTGCGGTTTTCTTTTATCTCATTGTTAGAAGAAAAAGAAACAAAACGTAAAAATAATTAATTTCGTTGATCAAATTAATAGACTGAAATAAAAAGAAATCTATGTTAACAAGCAATTTTTTTTATTTAAATCCAATTTGTCTTTTAATTAATTCACTCCATTAAACGAATAAATCTGCAAATAAATAAAAGGAAATTTCTTAATTCAAATCTGGTTTTTTTTATTTGCACCATAAATAGGATATTTTTATTATTACATATTGTAATAATGTCATCAGTTTTGTCTCGATTGTGGAGTACTCCGCGTAAATATTAGTTCGTATCATTCAAGGTTTAATGATTGCGAGAGCGTTAATCACCAGGATAATCGTCAAGATGAACTCAACGTATAACATATTGTATTTACAGATATGAATAATTCGCGTAAGATTATTAAATACACACACGTGTATAAAATGAGACTAATAATTTTTTTTATCATATACATTAAATAACAGAATGGTATTCTACATCTAAAAACTAGTAAAAATAATTTCATATAGCTGTAAGCGCCTTGATTTTTCTTGTAATATGTAAAAAAACTCAATGTTCTATTGAATCTATTGACAATAATCGTTTTACATATTTTTTCTTTAAACACAGCTGAAATCATTGTTCGAATAAACTTTAAATCTTATCTAAATCATTTTCGATCTTATCTAAACTTTTTGAGTAAACTTTAGATACAATATTGAGTAAACTTTAGATACAATATTAGTCGTATTTTTTTCTTAAAATTTAAATTTTTAATTTTTAATTTTTAATTATGCCAGTGAATAGAATTCTTTTTACTTGTTTTTCTAACATAGAATACCATATCTGTTTCATTGTTTTCATTATTCAAAGCGTTATTCGATAAGACTAAACCCCGAAAAAGAATTCGTTTGTTTATAAAAAAATCTTTTCTAGAAGATACGTTTGTCAATTCCACAATTACAGATTGTTTACAGATTGGAACGATTGACAAATAACGGTAGAATAATAAGCATAATTTCAATCATCATTTTAAATAATCAATCAGAATACAAAATCAGAATTCCTTTTGAATGTTATAAGACACAACAATTATGTTAATGCATGCATCTCCTTTAAAAGTCTTAACAATGGTAAAAGTCTTGAAGAATATCTTCTAAAAAATCTTAGTATATTTTACATTTTTTTGGAGATAAAAATACGCGGGCAATATTTTAAATTTTAAATACAAAAAATTACTTTATGTATACGTTTAAAAACAAAAAAGATTATAAATAGTATAAAAGAGAACATTCTAAAGTGAGAATCACTTAGGATTCCAATCTGCAAAATATACATATATATCCAAAAATGAAGGTAATCACTGAGATGTTACCTTTTATAGATGTTTACAAATTTCTTAACTAAAAATTAATTAACTTTAATCTTAATGTTTAAATTTTAAGTAATATACATAGTATAAATATTTGTTATACATTTTACAATTATGTATGTATATACACACACGCGCACACAAACACACTCCCATATACATGCTACACACATACACACAATTTTTCTATTATTATTATATTATACACGAAAGAAGTTTATGTGTTTCAAGATTTTCAAAACTTTCCAAAATTTTAAGACTTTTACATTTGTTAAGATTATTGCATATTTTTTAAATAAAAGAAATATAAAGTAATTTCCTAAATATATAATATATAGAAAAGAGCATAAAATTTTCGACAGATTTTTTTACAAATTTGCAAAACTTCGATCAATATTTGATACGCGCTAAAACTATTCGAAAATAATTTTTCGAAAAATAATCCCTCATTGGTGATCACTATCACTGGCGATCCTCGCATTCGCGTAGTCGATCCCGGGAATAGTACGTGCAAATACCCATCGGCGCCGCAAATAGATAGTTCTCAAAACACAGTTCCCGCTGAAAACGCGTCGACGATTGGAGTTTAAAAAAAAGGACAGTATATTATACACAAACGCGCGGATCTGCGCGCACACGTTTGTTCGTCTTATTACACGTATATCAGCCGCTTCCTTCTCGTGTGTTATCTTCGGTCGCTGCGGCCGCCGTTTCTGTAGCCGCCGCGACCGCGCGAATTGCTCTTGGTCGTCGGCGCCGACGACTTTGTCGTCGAGTCCGACGATGACGACGACGAGTATCGCACCGAGCCACCGGGTAGACCAGAGCTGCCGCTGCCGGAACTACTGCTACCGGAGCTACCGCTGCCGGCGTTACTGCCGCCGTTTCCGCTGCCGCCATTTCCGCTCTTCGCGGTCGTTGAACTCGCCGCGGCTCCGCTTCCGGGAGTTGTTGTGTTGCTTTGGATAGCCTGCGACGGAGAGATTGCACATGTTATTTTTTTAATCGGACGGATTATTTATTATCGAGAGATAACGAGTTCTCAAATGTCAAAATAAGTGTAAAATTATGTTTAAAAAACTAGAAAGCAACGCGATAAATCTTGGCGTATACCTTCTCCACTTCGTATATCGCTATTATTCATGCGTATATTTAAATAAATAAAAATAGAAGTCTTTAATATATGCGAATTAAAAATGCCATTAATTTCGAAAAAGTAGTTTTCTCATCCATAAATGATAAACATAAAAATATTCTCCAGATAGAACATGAAATACAGAATGACATCATGATGACGTCACTTGAAAGTTATTTTGGGACAATTTTTTATACATTATAATCATTTATTTATTCTATTGTTCCCACGTATTCTAACAATATTTCAGCAACATAAATTTTTTGAAAATTATATAAAGTGATTATTTTATATTAGAGCGCTTTAAATCTATATACGATTCCTTTTATCAAATCTTTAAATTATTTTTGAATCATTTTTGCCCAGGTAACTTTTAAGTGATGAATAAAATCATGATGACCTCATTACGAGTTTATATTCTATCTGGGAATGTGTGTAAAAACAAGTATAAAATTATGTTTGAAAAAAATAGATGAAAGCAACACGATAAATCTCAGTATACTTTTATCACTCCACATCGCTGTTATTCATGTATATATTTAAATAAATAAAAATAAAATCGTTTAATATGTGCAAATTAAAAACGCCATTAATTTCGAAAAACTATTCTCATCCGTAAATGATATTCCTCGTAAAATATCAAAAAAAACCTGTGCTTCTACGTATGCCTAAAAAAAAACTCGTAAACTTTTTCACATTTAATTGCGCAAAAATAAAAAAGAATAAAAAAATCTTGATACATTGTTTCGCGTCGACTCGCCATATTCGTCGAACAACAATGAAACTTCCTAGGTGTCACGCACCAAAGGTTGTCGTCCCGCTTGACCCGAGATACTGTTGGCGTTGCCGTTGTTGGTGATGCTGTTGTTGACATTGCTGGCGGGCGGTCCGGAGCCGCTCTGATTCACTATCTGCTGCGAGAGCATCGGATTCGGGTCGCTCATGTTGATCTGCTCGTTGATCACCATGCAGAACTCGCCGATCTTCTGTATGTCCCCGGTCTTGCCCGAGTACAGGGTCAGGCATTGCCGCCAGACGGACGCGTAGCCCTTGGTCAACCGCACAATATCACCCGGCATCAGGAGCTGGCCGGGCTCGTCCCAGATGGAGACGTTCATGCAGGCGGTGCTGTCGGCCACTTTGAACGTTCGAACTTCGCGGTTCTCCTTAGTGATGGTAGGGTGGCTAACCTCCAAAACGATAAACACTACGTTGATGTTCTTCTGGCCCGCCCGGATGTCCTTTATCAGCACGTAATCCATCCTGTCCCGAGTAGCCGCGCGGACGCGCACGCACAGACTGACAGGCGAGCGCGGCGAAGTCCTTGGCGTCGTCCTTACGAAGGACGCTCTCTCCTTCTCCCTCCGAGTACCGTCTCGCGCGACGCGTGTTCCCCGAATGACACGACGGACGGCTGCCCGTTGTGTCGAAGTGTACGCTCCTCCCCACACTCGGAATACCTGTCCCCTCTCCGCGCCCCGCTCGACGCCACTCGTTAAATTAATTAAAGCCCTTCGAGCCCTTTAAAGCCTCTCGCACTCCGAGTGCTCTCGAAAGTATCACCGGATCGAAGCCGGCTCGACGGGGCAGAGCGTAGGAACGAGAGAGGCTCGCTCGCCGATGCATCGGAGAAATGAGAGCCGAGTCTCGTCGGTTGGCAGCTGACGTCTGCCATGTCATCTTGCTTCGTCGGCCAGCCGCCAGAGGGCGAATGAGCCGCGCGCGTCATCGTCATAGAATTTGGATATCTATATAGATAGACGTTCTCCGTTTATCTTTCCTGGTCGCTATAGTAAAGAATTTTCGTTGATTTTGATCAAAAATTCTAAAATAAAAATATGTAATTGGAATATTAAATATATCATTTATATATTTAAGTATATTCAATTGTTTTATTATTGTAATATTATTATTTTAAATTATTTTATTATTTTAATTTATATATTAAATATGTAGAAATGTATAATTATTATAATAATTTAAAAAATATATATTATATAATTAATAAAATATGTTAATAAATAATTAATAAAATATAATAATATATATAATTAAAAAAAATATATATATATAATATATAAAATATATTTAATTTTAATATATAATTTAAAAAAATAAGTCAAAAAATACAAAAAAGAATTTTGACGAGGCGAGCGCCAACTTGCGGTAAATATACGAATTAATATTTCGATCGTGAGCAAAGCGTGATTGTACAGCGATAACACTGCGTAGTTTCAGCGTTTATGATTGCGGAGGATTTTACTGTTTGTGATTACAGTGCTGAATAAATGCAAATAAATTTTTAAATTCGCTGAAACACACAGGTAGTTATTATTTATAATTAAATTTCTACGATTATTGCGTGCGAGAAATAATACGGAAAAATTTATTCGAAGTTACTCTAAAACGATATTTCAAAGTTCGGCGGAATATTTTATTTTAACCTTTAACCTTTAAACATTAGTTTACGTACCGAAATAAATGTTGCTTGTGAACCTTTGGTCGATTCTGTTAATGTATTTTAAATAAAGTGTCTCAAAAGAAGTTTTGTGTATCAGTCTCTGTTTTTGTCAGCAAAAAGTGAATATTGCGTATTATCGCGTAACGAAAAATGAGTTGTTTAATTAATATGTTTATATTGTTGAGAGCATAAACGATTATTTCTGATTTATAATTATATGTATTGAAGATAGAATTGACAGTAATTAGCACCGATTGTTTGTTAAAGCGACCAACAATGAGTTATCATCGAGGTAGCGGTAACAAGCCAAAAGGCTTTGGCTTTGCCAGTTTCCAAATGTCTGGGACAAAGAGAAGCGGTACTAATATACCTCCACCTCCGCCAAACTCGGCCTTGAGTAAACAAGGCTATCACACGATGAATGCTATTACAGAGAATGCTCTGTCCGCTTGTTGGGGTGTGCCAAAGAAACGCAGCAAAACAGAGGAGGAGTTAGTATAACTTTAAAAATAATAATACTCTGATAATCATGCTGTAAAAGGAAATAGAGACAAACTAAATATTATAACATTATTTTGTAAAAACAGATATTTCGAGGATGATGATGAACTTCCAACTTCATCGCTGGAATATATACCTGCACCTGGGTCTCCCACGTATGATTTAATGAAGAAGTCTGCATCAAAAGAGGACAGTGATGGTGAGGAAGATCCTTTAGATGCTTTCATGGCAGGTATTGATGCGGAAGTGAAGAGAAACGATTGTGCTGCTCAATATGGTGAGAGTCGAAAGGAAGAGAAATCTAAAGGATTTCGGGCAGATATTGATGGGGAAGACGACGAAGAAAGTTATTACAGGTACAATATTTGGATAATATGATACTACAGTATTGCTGTTTTTTGCATATAAAAATTATAATAAGAAAGATATAATAATTTGATTTTTTATTTCTTACAATTAGGTATATGGAAGAGAATCCAACTGCTGGTTTGCAACAAGAAGAATCCGATCAAGAAATCGAATACGATGAAGATGGTAATCCCATTGCACCACCAAAAAAAAAGAGATTGATCCACTACCTCCAATCGATCACAGTGAAATCGAATATCAACCATTCGACAAAAATTTTTACAATGTGCATGAAGAAATCGCAAGTTTAGGTAAACAACAGATTGATGATTTGAGAAAGACTCTGGGTATAAAGGTATCCGGACCATCTCCGCCGAACCCAGTTACTAGTTTCGCCCATTTCGGCTTTGATGATGCGCTGATAAAATCTATCCGTAAAAATGAATACACGCAGCCTACGCCTATTCAAGCGCAAGCGGTTCCTGCCGCTTTAAGCGGACGAGATATAATAGGTATAGCAAAAACCGGTAGCGGTAAAACAGCGGCATTTATCTGGCCGATGCTAGTGCATATCATGGATCAGCGTGAATTGAAAACTGGAGATGGCCCTATCGGTCTTATCTTAGCGCCGACGAGAGAATTATCTCAACAGGTAATCTTTTATTCTAATTTTGATCCTATTTTATTAACGCCTAAACGAGTTTTAACTGTAAAATCTATATGTAAATTACAGATTTATCAAGAAGCAAAGAAATTTGGAAAGGTTTACAACATCCAAGTGTGCTGTTGCTATGGAGGTGGTAGCAAATGGGAGCAGAGCAAAGCGTTGGAAAGTGGTGCGGAAATTGTGGTTGCTACTCCTGGTAGAATGATTGATCTTGTTAAAATGAAAGCAACGAATTTAGCTAGAGTTACATTTTTGGTTCTGGATGAAGCCGATAGAATGTTTGATATGGGATTTGGTAAGTAAACTAACTATAATTGAGATCTAAATATACGTCAATAGTCGATATCGAACTTTTTTTTTTCCTAGAACCACAAGTACGCTCTATATGTAATCATGTGAGGCCCGACAGACAAACGTTGCTATTCAGTGCAACATTTAAAAAGAAAGTAGAAAAGCTTGCTAGAGACGTTTTAACAGATCCTATTAGAATAGTGCAAGGTGATGTCGGTGAGGCCAACACTGATGTGACGCAACATGTCATCATGTTCAATAATAATCCCAGCGGTAAATGGAATTGGCTGTTGCAGAACTTGGTTGAATTTTTAAGTGCTGGCAGTCTCTTAATCTTTGTCACTAAGAAGGTGTGAAAACTGAGCAACTCCTAACTATAATACAACATTAAAGAGGTGTGTAATTTAATATTTTTCCCCCACGTCTCAGCTGAACGCGGAAGAACTTTCCAACAATCTCAAACTGAAAGAGTTTGATGTATTACTTTTGCATGGTGACATGGATCAAATCGAGAGAAACAAAGTGATTACAGCTTTTAAAAAGAAGGATGTCAGCACCTTGGTAGCTACTGACGTAGCCGGTAATTAAACTGTTTGACATCTTTCTCTTGATGTTGAAAAGAATGTATGTGAAATTCTTGTTGCGTTTTAGCGCGAGGTTTGGATATTCCACATATCAAAACTGTCGTAAATTACGATGTAGCGCGAGATATCGATACTCACACGCATAGAATAGGAAGGACAGGACGAGCCGGTGAGAAGGGTACAGCGTATACTCTTGTAACTGAAAAGGATAAGGAGTTTGCTGGACACTTAGTAAGAAATTTGGAGGGAGCGAATCAAGAAGTGTCAAAGAGTTTGATAGATTTGGCCATGCAAAGCGCATGGTTCAGAAAATCAAGGTTCAAAGGTGGGAAAGGGAAGAGTTTAAATATCGGTGGAGCCGGACTTGGTTTCAGAGGCAGACCAGAGTCATCGAGTTCGGTATGCATTACAACAATTTGTATAAATATTCTTATATACATATTTTTGCAAATAACCAACTATATCATAACTGTATAGAGTGGATCGTCATCAACGCAAACGTCCAAGGATGTAAGTGAAGTAGTCAAAAAGTTGGAAAGACACGGACCTGGTAGCGATCGTCTTTCCGCTATGAAAGCTGCTTTCCGAAGTCAATATAATTCTCAGGTGAGTTGCCTACTTTGAAAATATAGATTTAAAAAATGAAGTTCAAAAGTAGTCAGCGAATGTTTCACGCTAATCAATAATTTTGTTTGTTATAGTTCCGAGCATCGTCAGATCATACTTGGGAGCAGACGATTACTCCACCTTCTGTGATAATGCCGCCACCGCCACCGCCGACCGTGCCGCCACCGAAACCAGCTGTTCAGGATAACAATGAAGCTTCCAATTCAGCGGTACCGGAGCGTAAAAGAGTGCGAAAAAGTCGATGGGAGTGATCAAGTAATGTAAACAATTATTTGTGTATACACTATATAGCCGCTATTATGCTATAACGGAACGATATGAGGAACTGACTTGTTTTATATTACAATAAAATTTAATTTTACCAATTTGTACGGATATTATCGATCGAATCCGATCGAAATCATCTAGTACCTACCTGGTGATCATCAGCCTGATCGCGGCTTATATAGCTTTATCAATAACATATTTATCTTATTTTATTACAATTTTGCGGAGATCAAATTGCATGCAGTTCTTGTACGAGGTACTGCACGCCTTTGAAAGCACGCATACGCGTCTGGTCGCAATTTGTGCTTAGAGTGAATCACTCCATAATTATCCCATAAGGAGCCGTGGCCATGATCGTGTATCCGCAACGATCCTCTTAATTTCACGATCGTACCTCTAATTGCAACTTACAAAAGTGATGAAGATTATCTTTCCAATAACTGCATTGCTGAAAAACGGTGTTTACTCTTTTAGACACAATTTATTAATAGGTTACATATATAAAAAATACAATAAAATATGGCATCCATAGAAAGAAGAAAAAATGCAGAGATTTATAATCCAATCTCTCTACACACAATTTTCCGAAATTAATCAATATTTTGTAATAATCTTATGATTTTATTAATAATAATAATCTTTGAAATCTACAAAAAAATATTGCATTAAAATATTTTATGCATGAGAGAAAGTTTAAAAATAGTTTACGAATATTCAAAGAGAAAGCGCGCGCACACATAAGGTAACCAAAATAGATATCAGGATGTCGAAAGAACTATTTCATCTATTATGCCTCTTTCTTTTTTCTAAAAATATCATTTATACTATTCTTGTCTTGCGCGCGCGAATAAGTGTTCGCTCAATATAAAGATTAAGTCAAAGGGATAACGCTAAGAGTCATCCATCATGCACCGGTCGACACTCATTCGAGTGGGACGTTAATGACGGCTCTCTCATCAATAGAACCGCTGACACGCGTATATTCATGTCGTTAAAAGCTGCGTTCCGATCGCGGAGTTTCTAATGCCCAAGGTCCTCGTTCAGGGTCACTCTTCAAGATCGCAAGAGCATTATCTTCCGCTTTTGCTCGCGCGATCTGACTCTTCCGTTCCACGTCATTACGATCTGAAGGATCGCATCTCTTCAGGAACATTTAGATAGATCTCGCAATATATTTTTGCATATTCTACTTTCAGGAATCATCTAAAGATCAGGATGCTTAAAGGTTTATATACTGCGGCATCGCAGGACTGCTCTTCCTCCTAGTCTTTTCCGTCTGTTGCGCGAGGATCGTCGAACCCGTTGACTTCCTCGCAGCTTCTATATTTTTGCCGCTGAACTTTTCCATGGCTCTGGTGTAAGAGCCGGTGCAAATCCGGCCCCAGACGCCTTTTCGTTCTTCCGTGTACTGTCTGTTTCTTCCCTCGCTGAACGTCCGTTGGATATCGCTCATCTTCGCGACTCTGCAGACATCCTCTTTCTCCAGAGAAGTGCTGGAACCCGCGGCAACCTGGACGTCCTCCCACGACACGTTTATATCGGATTGCACGCTGGACGGCGTAGGACAGCTGCTGTCGCTCGACAAGGATGAGGATCTGATAAAGGATGGCGGAATCGTCAACTGACTGTCGGTCGAAGACTCACTCTTCGCGCGAGAGTTTGTTGTCCCGTCTTGATTATCGTGGCCGAGATTGTCGTTTAAGATAATCTTCGCGATCGAAGTTCTCTTCCTGAGATTTTCTAGATTTTCTTTAGGAGTACTCTGGGAACTGTCCACTCGCTGCAGAATATCCTTCAGATTTACATTTGCGGTGTCGGTACTAAAACTCGATTTGTTTCGTTCGATCTTAGATCCGATTCTAGGTCCGAATTTTCCATTAATCGCGGTGACAGTCTGTTTTTTAGGTTCTTTATGAGAATCGTCTTTCAAAGTTAAGTCTGGATATATATAATTAGGCAATCTCTCCTTTTGACGAATCGACGTAGTAATCTTAGATTGCGTTTCTAGCGACTTTAAATTTCGTTTTTCACTCTTTGCAGGTATTTCCGTTTTGCCAGACATGGCACCTTTCACGCACTGCTTATACTTTTCATCTATCGTGGTATCGAGATTGCTTCGAGTGCTCGAAGTATCGATGAAGATAGACTGTTCATTATCCTCTTCGGGCTGCAAAAGCAACCAATGATCCAGAGATAAATTCGTATCTTCAGACTGACCGATTAATTCTTGTGAAACAGCAACAATATTATCTTCCTGGTCCTCTTTCCTGTTCAGCTCGTCCCGAATCTCATTTTCGTTATCCTCATCCTCTTTATCGGAATCATTATCGAGGCTCTTCAAAACACCTTCGTTCTTCTCGTTGCGTTTTCTGAGTTCCTCCCAATTCTTTCGCGGCTTGTAGCTCGTCTTTCGTCTCACGATCTTGCTTTCGGTGATGTTAATGTCCGGGATGAAGAGACGCAAAGCCTTTGTGCCGGTCGGAAATGTCACCTCGTTAATTCGCTTCTCGCACATGATTGCTTTCAGGCTCGTTTTCGAAGCGACCTCTTGATGCTTGTTGAACGCGGAGACCAGCTGGGCTACTGTATACTTTGGCTCGTCATTCTCCGATTCCGTCGAACGATCTTCCTTGTCGTCGGACGCCGCTGAATTGTTGGAATGGCTGGAAACGTCCGAATGTTGACGTTCGCAAGGATGTTTGTCTAAACTACTGGGTTCCCTCTCGCGTCTTAACGATATCTCGTCGGAATCTTCCGTCAGGGTGTCCGACTCGATGGACTTCAGGGAATCTAGATTTTCCTCGGATTCCGAGGTGAACTTCTTCGGGATCTGCAACTGATTTACACTCTTCTCTTCACGTTTCGTGTTATTTGATAAAATGCACGAGTTATGCTGATTCTCGACGTTAAAATCACTCGGCATCTTCGTGTCCGAAATTGCTGGCGTATCTTGGTTAATTTTTTCAATCTTCTCGGACGTTAAGTTAGTCTCCGACGTTACGTTAATGACTATACGATCGTCGCTCGTCGACGGTGTAAGTCTAGAGGACGCGATCTCGGCCCCGAGTTGTTTAAAAATCGGCGCCATATCCTCGGTCTTGGCTCGCTGGTAACTCTTCCTTCGACGTTTCAGGCATTCCAGGCTCCTGTAGATGTCCAAGACACCTTGGGACTTCGACAAGGACCTCAAACCATACAGTTTCTCGCGAGATTTGCTGATGACAGGATTCATCGCGGCGATGGCACCGATCGCGGATCCATTCAGCAGACACGCCTGAGACTGAACGTGATTCAGACTGCGTATCCTCGAGAGTATCCCGCGACTCAGGCCTTGATTCAGATTAGCCTGGGACCGGCTCTGAGCTTTGCTCAACAGCCCTCGCGTCTGCTCTTGATTCAGCAAACAGCTCTGACTCGCACAGCTCAAGCTGGTCCTGGAAGAATCCAGGCTGGCCTGGGAATCTGCCGGGCTGGGAAAGTCTTCGCTGCCCGCTAAACTCGAACGGCTTCCCGTAAGGTAGTGGCTCAGACACATCTCGCTCTGACTCAGCAGGCAGTCCTGCAAGCCCTGTCGATGATGCTGCTGCTGATGATTCTGCTCATTCTGGAGATCCGCTTGGCAGAGACTCGTTTGGCTCATCAAGGCGGCTCGTCTCAGGTTCTCCCTGCTGACGAAACGTTCCAGGAGAACCTCTCGCGACTTGGACAGGTATCTTCGTAGGTGAGGCGACGCCTGTGTCGGGGCGCCACGCAGCCAATCGTGGCGCAAACATTGTTTCGCGGTCATTCGTGCACTGAAAGAATAAATAAATAAAATAGGAATAAATTATTCTTGAGAAAACTCGAGCGCGCGATGAATTTAATGTACCTTGGGTCTAGCACCAAGAGCTTCGCGACAAAGTCCTTCGCCTGTACCGAGACATCCTCGAACAGCTCCTCGGGAAAGTCCACCTCTCCCAAAGATATGTTCTGAAAGGTTTCTTGGTCGGTTTCACCGCCGAAAGGCGAGAAGCCCGTCAGCAATACGTAGGTCGTGACACCGAGCGACCTGGAACGAATTCATATTTTTTATAAATTATATTTTTTTCTTTTTTTTTTTATAGAATGAGGAAAATTTGATACATATCCGTACGAAGATTCAAAGCGTAAAAGAACAATACACAAAAATACCATGTTTGGCCTTACCACATATCGGCTGCCAGGGTGATTGGTTCGTAATGCAATATTTCGGGCGCTGAAAGAGAAATGTAAACACGATTGAATATATGGAAATGTATGTACGTACAATAGCATTTAACGCGATCTCACGTGCCGAGGTCTCCTCCACGTCCGTCCGTCCGTCTGTCCACTTATTTTATGTCGTGACCTCGCACGTGACGTCACTCGAGCATCATGCACGTCATTTTTATTTACGTACAAAAATCGTGGGTCGTCTCCACTTGGAGATGAAGTCGGGACGATCCGATTCGCTTTATCCAGTATTTTAATTTGCACTAGGGTTTTTTAAATTCGATAAACAGCTATATCGTTAAAATCCTTTATTCCCTAAATTCGATCTAGTGAAATGGAGAGATCGGCAACTTCTATAAAATCCTTTAATAAAAGTTTAGAGCTCGATTTTCCGTCGGAGCGAAGAAATATGATTGCGATAACTGTTCCCAGGCATTTTGCCGAGGGAACTGTCAGACTGGATTACCTCGATACGATCTTAACTACCCACCGCCAACACACCCCGTCGATCCTATTATTATTTCGTAGACATTTTGCGCGATGACGACACGTATCAATTAAATCGGGACGACGGGTAGTCCACCGGTTCTCTGTCTCGATATTAATTGTAAGCGGCTGACGGATTCGGAGCACCTTTTTCTTACAACAGGCGTAACGGTACCACCTCCGATATTCTTCGCCGCTTGACATTTCGCTGCTATCAAATAGGTGGGCGGGTGAGACCGATCAAACCCGACAACACCGGCGATGATTAATCGGTAAATAATTTTTGCGAGTCCCCGAGAAAAATGCGTCGTTCCTTTAAATTGCAAATCGTATTTGAATACTTTATGACAGCCTAGGGAGAAGAAGCGCGTTTGTTCGCGCGAGATCTCAATTTTAAACGATAGAGGGAGATATACAGGGCATCTGACGGAAAGTGTCACACCGAAAATATATACAAGTAGATCTCGTTATTTGGAGACGATTTTTCCTCAGCAAAAATGTCGAGGAAAGCCATCATTTTTTGCATGTTTCCAATTTTTGCCATTGGATGTACCTTTATAACTATAAACTTTAAATTAAAACTTTATTAAAGTAAACTCTACTTGAAATTAATTGGAGAATGTGGTTTTGTTAATATTTTTTTCACAAGGCTTAGTTTGAGAAAACCTTTAATTTCAGTTGCTTATAACTCGAAACTTATTGATGCCTCAATATTATTGCTGAGGGAAAATTGTTTCCAAATAACAAGATCTACTTGTACATTTTCAGTGTGACACCTGATGTCAGACACTTTATATATTATAGAGAGAAGAGAGAAAGGAAAATCGCGCACAAAAAAAAGGGGGAAAAACTTTAATTCATCGCCTGTCCGACTTTGTTATTTACTTCGCTCTCCGGGCGACGTAAAGGCCACATCGGACGTGCGTCGATTACCTTGCCTGGAAACGGCATGATTTGAAACGACCGACGTCAATTACGGGGGGTCCGGTTGTATATAAAGCGCGGCTTTATTAAGGGGAGCAGCCGGCAATGAGGCTAACGTGTCAATTAATATCGATTATACTTGCGATCTCGTCGCGGCGATCGTCAATTAGCAGACCCAGATAATGATCGGTAGCAATTAAGCCGCGCGGCAAAGAGCAAAGCGCGGATATCCACCTGGACGAGTGACCCCTCTTTTATCCCCCCTTTCGATAATGTCTCCTAATGCCTGGTACACGCTATCTCGACAGCCATGTAATGCGACAATTTATAATTTTGTTCCTTATTAAGGTTTGTCAAGTCGCTGTATCGACGATCTCTTAGTGATCAAGCGCAGGCGAATTGCTACGAAATTGTTGCATGCTCGATTTATTAAATGCGCGTTAAACTTTCGAAACGACCTCGAACGATGTTAACGATGTTGCGACAGAAAATAGAAACGTTTTGTTTTTCTCGTTCGGTCGCATAAAATACAAGGTCCAGTTTACAGATACACGCATTTCTGGCATTTGCATTAAAAAAGGGAGATTTTTCCTTTAATAAATATTTTAAATTTCGCATCGACGCATAAGTACAATTGAGAGATAATTTGTTGAAAACTTGGTAAGGAAAGTCCACTCACCGACGTAATCCGGGGTGCCAAGAATTTCGCGGACTTCGGTGCCCTCCAAAATCACTCTCGAAATTTCAAAGTCGCACAATTTAACGTCGCAGTCCGGAAAAGAGCCCATCATGACCAGATTTTGAGGCTGTAACAATACACGCACACATATATATATTATTATATATATAATACTATATAATATTTTATAATATTATGTTATAATATATATATACATGAAGAAAATTTTCTCTTAGAATTTACCCTGAAAATTATGATTATCGTGAGACAATGTGATAGTAGAAGAATTTTTCTGATTAATATTTAGCTCAACAAAAAATACTAATATGCGTATACATAGTAAATTTTACTATATAGGTACACAATAAAATTAATCAAAGATATTTTATATCCTATTGTGGTAAACATTAATATTTTCATTTACTTTTTACCACCATGTTCCATGATTTTCAGGGTAAATGCTAAAAGAAAATTCTCTCTGTTTAATTTATATTGCATATAAAATATTAAAAAATGTCTCAAAATCGTTAACAGCTTTGTTGTCTAAATAAAATACACGATCGAATCTCTTTGCGTAGCTCGTGGAACCAGATAGAGTTCGATCTCGCTTCCGATATCTCGAAAAAAAACTAAACATAGTCTATGTCATTACGTTTTATCGTCGTCGTAACCAAAGGGATACTATCGGTCTTCCGCGTGCTCGCGCGCAGATAAGCGTACGCGAGCAGTATTAAGATCGAGAATGGAAGCGATTTTCTGTATCGCGTTGCGAGAGATAAGAGTGCATCCGATATAATCATCGTCGGATTTCTCCGCGAATGGAAATTCGATGTACTCCTGCATCGTTTAGAGATTACGAAATCGCCCGATATTTCAATCTCCATTTCGAAGCGCAAAAAGATGCACGTATCTCTTCCGTATTCGAGTAATCGGTTCCTTTATCTCGGATTCCGGAGCAAAGGGAGGAAGAGAGGAAAAACAGGGCACGCACTTGATCTTTCGCGACGAGAATGAGTTCAACGTGCGCGGAGCTCAACAGAAAGTGCACCGTTTTCGATGCGTTTTTGCGACGACCTGCGGCGTGAATAGCAGCGTTTGTCCGCTAATGTAAATATGTACCAACTTGGTATGACAGCCGGTTATAATCGCGAGTATTCATATATGCGATTCTAATGCAGCCGCCACGCCGGTTTATGGCTCCGATCATGGAAACGAGGGAAATTAATTAGCCGCGGAAAAAATATCGACGAGATAATTTTTATGAAAATGTAGCGAACGGAAGGATAAAGTATGCGAATCGCGACAGATTTGTGATAGATCACCGTGAAATTCAAAGACACGCCGACAATCTAATTACCATAAATCGCTAGTACAACCGATGTACAATGAAGGCCGCTCGTGAGTATCTCGAAGGTTGCGCGGTATTATAATTGCTGACATAATCTAAATCGTAATGATTGTACAGGGTGTATCTAAATAAGTGCGAACAATTTTAGGAGATGATTCTTTGTCGAAAATTAAGAGGCGTTTCTTATATAAATGTATACTCTTACATCCCTTCCTGAGGAGTTACACATTTCTAAAGAGAATTTTTTTCTCAAATTTCAGACAAATTAAAAAAAATGAAACTTGCTGGATATTTTCCACTAATAAAAAAGATATTTATTAATATTTAAAAAAAGATAAAAACTTAATTTTTATCTCTCCTTTAGAAAACTCATCAGGGAGGGATATAAGATTTTATATAAGATATAATGTTTATATGAGAAACCCCCTTAATTTTCGACAAAGAATCATCTCCTAAAATTTTTTGCACTTATCTAAATATTTCTTTTAATTATTCAAATAATTCTGTATACAGCTCGAGAGATGTCCGAACTACAATAGAATCGCTTTCACCAGCCATTGGTTCGATCGAATAAGCTGAAAAATTGCTGTGCATATACACAGAGAGAATTTTATTATATAATTTACTCTGAAAATCATGGTAATCGTGGAACAATATGGTATTGAAGGAATTTTATAAAATATATTTATCACAATAAAAATATTAATAATCTATCACAATAAGATATGTTCGATTAATTTACTATATATGTACATATTAATATTTTTATTGTGGTAAATATTAATCAGAGAAATTCTTATAAAATTCTTCCAATGCCATATTGTCCCACGATTACCATGAATTTCAGGATAAATTTTAAAAGGAAATTTTCTCCGTGTAAGTATGTACAACATATATTATATTTGCATATGATGCATGTCGCACGTTGATTGAGCAAGATGTGATAAAATCAACCGTAGGTGTCAATCGAAAAAAATTAATTTTTTATATATAAAAATATATATATATATATATATATATATTGCAATGATCTGTTTTTCCCATTAAAGTTGATATGGAGCAATGACAGAAGGACGTAGCGACCCTTTCCGAGCGTCATCAGAGCTCCACACGCTCGGAATCCTCGGCGATTTAACGCGAGGAGAGCCTTGGGCATTTTCTCGTAGGCGCGCCTGAATATTCAAAGTTTCTTTCTTGGTCGCGCGCGACTAATAAATAATGACAAAAGACGTAAAAATAAATCTCGGCCCTCGAGATACGTAATTCTCTCGCGACACGGGGCCATTACGTGGCGGGAATATTACGTAGCCATATACTCTCGCGAATCGACACAATAATATCGCGCATGCAGAAGCTCGCGAACGCGAGTTTGCAGTCGAATGATAAATAGGCCACACGCTAGTGGGAAGATTATAAAGAATAATGCGGTTCGCAATCGCGCTTGTCATCAAAATGGCACGCCGCGCGGTCTGCCGTCGTTCTTCTCAGTCAGTCGTTCGCGGCCTTTTTTAGACATTTATTTTCCGCCGGGCTCTTAACGCGCGCGTGTATTTTCCGTGGAACGACTACCGATTAAAGCGCCGAGAGAAGCGCGAAGCTATTCTCATTCCATTCTATTCAGCGATCGCTTGAAGAGATCAGCTGACGCGATTGACAGATCGAATACGGCGCATTTTCTCGTTACATTCGCGAATCCAATCGGATTTTCGCTCGATGAAACATAGATTGTAGTCAGTCTATATAATGCTCTTTGTTGCCCGGAAACTCTGATCAAACATTTGAACTACGATATCGATTCTATATGAAACATGATTTGTCTTTCATTTCGAGAGAGCCTGTTCACTTGAATTAAACATACAAATATTAATTTTCAGAATTTTAATAACTTAAACAGCTTCTTCCTTCTTTCTTTCTTCCGACATAAAAAAAACATAAAAGATATATTATACTGATTTAAGATAAAACTACGTTAATATTGACTTTTTAACAAATCGCATCTACATGCAAATTCTGCAGAATCTATGACTAACCGAATACAAAGTCTGATCTCAACGATAGCTTCAGGCATTCTGTTAATCAATTTCTTTCAGCGTTGTGACATTATAGTAAATATCTGATCGGGTATAGACTCTTTGGAAGAATGATCGACAATCCCACACGATTAAATCTACGAAATCTCTTTACGGTGTCCAAACAGATGCGTGGGCTAAAACGAATATGTCAAAGTCGCCTGACCATTCAATCGAAGTGTTTGTTCTACAAAGGAAAAGAAAATAAATATATTGCTCGAGAAACCGGTCGGTAGAAAAATTAATATTAATATACATTTTACACGTGTACAGTTACATATTTTTATCATTATAGCCGTTAAGCTGCGTCCTCACTGGAGCAGCAACGAGTAACTTTTTGGTGTTCAATGTTTCTTTAAAAAGTTGCTAGTTGTTACCGAAAGTTTCTTAAAGTTCCTCACTGTTTCTGTTGCCAGGAACAAAAGTTGCCGCCTGTTTCCATTCAAAACGGTAAAGATAAAAAAAATTAGCAACACGCGTCAACAAGTCACAAAGGAACAAATGTTTCTGTAATTATGTTGCTTCGGTATGAACAAAAACAATAAGCAACAAATTGATCGTTGTTGTTCCAGTGAGGACACAGCTTTATAGAGAGCGAGAAAGGTTGCTATAATCTGAAATGGTCGATCGGCGGCTACCATCTCTCCTCTTGACGGTAACCCGGGTTATCGCGAGAGCTGCTCTCGTTATGGTGACCAGACATGTGTAGGGTACCTAACGCAGGTAGGAACCAGGTGTGATTCACCGAGAGTGTGTATATCAGCGAAGGAGCAGGGCGTGGTCGGCTGCTGCAGCTCGCGCGTTCTGTTTTTCCTCCGCGCTGCAAGTTTCTTGCGATCTTTTGCGCAAACGACTTTGCTCGCCGAGATATCTCTCTCATCTCTCTCCCTCTCTCATCTGCATATCCGCGCCGGAATCTGGTGCACTTATCGCCCGCGGCGGAAGCGTTACGCTTCTATGGACCCCGAGGACCGCGAGTGGGTGGCATCGAGCTTAAAACGTAACCCGAGGATGACTCGATCTGTCCTTTTCCTCTTTTTTTACGAAGACATCGCGCGAGACATACTTTATAAATTAATGCAGAGACTTTGTTGCTCCTCTCGTTCTTCTGGCTTTTATCCGACGAGAGAGTCGAAACGTTCGTTCAGGGTTCATATACGAGCGATCTCCTCACGGATCTCCTTTTCTCTCGCGCACATACATACGCGCTATATATACTACACCCAAATACGGCGGCAGTGTGTTTATGGAGCGCGGGAATAATGCGTTCACGTCGTACGCAACGACGCGTTTCATACGCAGTTGAACGCAGTCGTGTAGCGCTTACGAAATAAATCAAGAGCGGAGAGCCGTTCGTCGCTTGAAACTTGAGCAACTGTAGCTTACAGTAGGCCGGAGTTAATTTATTGCGTCACCGTCAGCGAACGCGATAAATATTAATCGATTCGTAACTTGAACTCTACGCGCGATTAATTTAATTCGTTGCGTCGTCAAAGGATGAGGAGGAGGGCTCTTTGTTCCGCGCAAGAGAGGATCGAATTCTTCTTCCTCCAATGTGTGACCAATGCAAATCGATCTTAAGGCGCTTCGACCTCCTCACCGATTATATGTTGGAATTGTGATGTCACAGGTGAGAAAATACACGCTAAAAATTCTTAGATGCCACTTCGAAATAAAAAGATATTTCGATGATTTTAGCACACTCTCAAAATACCTCGTAAACTATTCTCTTCCCTTTACAATTAATCAATAGCTGTAAAATGACTATTGCACATATACAGTCATTCCGCATGACGAGGTCTAATATTATGGTTATTGATTGACCGTCGCAAAGGAAAATAATAGTTTTCGAAATATTTTAAAAGTGTGCTAAAGCCATTATTTCATTTAAAAATGGCATCTACAAATTTTCAGCGGGTGCTTTCTCGCCTCTGACGTCACAATCTAACATGGCCGCGGCGAAGATCCAGGAGCCTTAACTCGCGGATAAAAGATGCAAGTCGCTCGAGGATGTTGCTCGAGCTGCTAAAGGCTCGACGACTTTTCTTTCTCGCGAGGATAACGAGAGGGGAAATTCTCCCATCCGTAACGAGCGATCCGACGACCTCGTCGGATCAAAATGTACTTTACGGCACGAGAAGGTGCCTTTGCACCACCTCGCGTGTTGTTGTCGCCGGTTTATATTTCCACGCACGCCCACGCAGGTTTACATCCTGAGGACATACATTCCTCTTGGGACGCTAATCGGGCGTCGGCGCGTTCCTAATTTGATTAGCGAGTTCATGATAAGACCTACACGTTATGGTTAGGTTAGGTTGTGAGGGTTGCGACACGATATACATCTCTAATTCGATCAGCGAAGAGCGACACGATAATTGATGGCTGTCGTAAAATATCTTGTCGCGTGTATAATAAATGAGTGAGGAGGAGAACAGGTCAAAATATCTCTTTCTTTTTATTGGGACATAAAAAATTGTCATAGTTCGGTCGAACCCTGCAATTCTCCGAAACAAGGTCCGTTTTTCGAGACTTCTAAGTTGCCGACGTTTTTAGTGCAACACGTGAAGAGTTTTCTCTCTCTCTCTCTCTCTTCTTCTCTTTTTTTCTGGAAGCGATAAAACAATGCTGTCGAGATTAAAAGACGTCGGAGATTAAAGACCTCTTCACGCGTGTAAACGTCGACGATGTCTGCGCTTAATTGCGCCGTTACGAGCGTTTTATGGCCGAAATAAAGAGAAACGAGACAAAAGTAAGCCAGTCGGAGAAATGTTTGCGCTGATGCCCCGAACAAGCACTCGCAAAAAAATACGATGCCGGCTTCGAGGAACAAAGTGAGCTCGAAGCTGAACGAGCCACTTCGTTGTTCAATAGGCATAGGCTTAATTCATCTCCTGCCCGGATTTTCAGAGAGAACGTCGCCGACCAAGAAGAAGAAGAAGAAGACAGGAATAATTTATGTAACATTGACAAAGGGAGAAGAAAATACGTTGCGCCGCGATACGTCATGTCCGGAGCGCGCTCTCTTTTCACTGATGAACATTCATGGACGAAATCAACACCGAGTCAACTCAGAGGAGAGAAAACATATCTTCTGCGAAGATGTCTCAAGTTTCGAAAGTCTCCATCGTCCGATTCTATCTCTCGACTCGCTGATGAACGCAGGATGCAACACGCAGCATCCCTCTTCTTGGAGCATTCGTATTTTAAAAGCGAGTCTGGTATGGAAATAACACACGTGTCAACGATAAATCGGAGTGTTCGAGACGCGGGTGTTCGATTCCGATTTTTTAATTTTTTTTCCTCTCGAATTGCGATCGAGGAGGCTTGTTACGATCGATATGTATGTTCGTGCCTTTGTTCGTGCAGGGGATTCCAATTTATTTTTCAGAGCTCATCGTTCGGTCGCAATGAAATTCTCTTCATCTATCGACAGGTGTATAATACCGCTTTCGCGAAATAGAGTCCAGTCGTTTGACGGTTGTCCAGCATCGTCGACTCGTTCGATTAATTAATTACTGATTGAGATATATCGATTTATATTGAGTTCCATCGAGTTCTCTCGACAAAGCGAGACACATATATCATAATATCGTAAACGTCCCACTCGTGATTTTTCTGATTATTTTTCTCTTTCGCGCTTGCACGCAAGCACGATTGGAAATTTCTGGCGACCAAGTTGTTGGTTCCGGGATCCGAAGAGAAGCGTGACAAGTTCGCATCGACCTTTTATGGGTCGAACTTACCTTGATGTCCAAATGGGCGATATTTCTCTCGTGGAGGTAGGCGAGTCCTTCCACTAGCTGCCGCACAAAATGTACGACGTCACCTTCGAGGGGCACCAAATCGCCGTCGATAAGCGTTTGCAGATCGCCTCCGGGCGCGCTGAAAGAAAAATCATCTTTTCTTTATCGAGATCGGACACAGAGAGAAGTTTCTCTTAGAATTTACTCTGAACATCATGGTAATTGTTAGACAATACGGTATTGGAAGAATTTTTATAAGAGTTTCTCTGATTAAATATTTTTACCACACAATATAAAAATATTAATATATAAAATAAAACTATAAATAAAATATTAATCAGAGAAACTCATATTGTCCCATTATTGTCCCATATTGTCCCGTCCATGATTTTCAAAATAAATTCTAAGAGAAAATTCTCTCTATGTATAGGATAAAAATAAGGGTATTTAGAAATCATCGCGTCGTTGATGTAATACATTTTTTTCCTAAATACTTTTCACAGTTCTCTTTCTTCGAAATAATTATATTATTAAGAGGACTTGACGCGAAAAATGTGTGTGGGTTTAATATTAAAAAAAATACTTACTATTCCATGACCAAGATGATTTCTTTCGGCGTCTCGTAGACATCGTGCAGCCGAACGACACGTGGCGATTGCGAGCACAGGGATAACAGGGCGATCTCGTGTCTCAATTCCGCGCTACAATCGGCGTTGAATCGGTTTCTAGACGAGTACTTGGCCGCGTAAAGTATTCCAGTTGATCGCGATCTGCAACGGTAGACTCTCGCCCACTGACCGCTGTTAAAATATTAATGAATATTTAATATTAATGAATATTTAATATTAATATTAATAAACTTCGCGATTTTTTTTCTCTTCAAAGAAACTGTGTAGGCCTTCTTTCTCTTATCGCTGCAAAATCTTACGATATTTCGCATATTTGAATTTTAAAATATACAAGATGTTGAAATATGGCAAAAAAGAAATTATACAAAATATATCTGACGTTTCAATAAATTGTTCTTCGAATATAGTATGTGATACACGGCAGTGTGTATTTTTATTCGGATGTTCCAATGTAACTTCGACTCTTACTACCGGCTCGACTTCGTATTTTCACGAGGAATTTATTTTCGCCCTTGAAAAAACGAGTCGTTGCCCGGAACGCAACCACCTTCCTGGCATCCTTCATTACCAATCCGAATACTTTCCGCTGTTTCTCCTCTTTCTCCCCTTCATTCGAAAAAGCAATTCGCTTTCGCAGTATCAAAATTCTCCATTAGTCCGGTGTTGCTGCGAAAACGCTCTATCGCGATCGTTCTCAACAATTATGACCTTCGTGGCTTCATTACATATAAAGGATATTATTTTATCGAGCTAAAGCATTAATCCGTCAAGTTGATCTCGGCGTAAACTCTCTGACGACTTTTGTCTCAACGGCACTTTTGTGCTCGTCGTATTCCTGCTGCGTTACTTTAACAGACAATGTCCTGTTCGCGATACTTAATGTCACCGTGCATCTCGCATTTAACATCCCGTCGAGTGATTACATTATTTACAATCCCGAACGCGCTCTTCATCGTATTAAGAACCGCCGTCGAAGATTCCGGTCGTCTCCTTCGGCAAGGTCGACAGAGCGGCGCCTGGCAAGGCCTGGCCTGTGTCTGGTAATGCGTATCTCACGTTTTCACCCGTATTTAAGCAAGCACCTTTATATACGCGAGAGAGTTTGCGTTACATAAAGTGCGAGACCGAGTACAAGATACGATCATAGATGATATATCGCTCATTAACTTTCTACATATATATATATATCGCGAGATCGTAAATACTCCGGCGTTCTACTTTTGCCCGCGTATAAAAACACGGCTAATAAATTTCTTTTATTTTTCTTCTTATTTATCATAATTATAATCACACGAAGAAAATCACCGAATTAAAGAAGACACGACAGATAGAGGCGTCTAGGACTCGAAGAACCGGAAGTCCGGTTGGTGGATTGCGCCGAAATGGAATAAGAATTCTCAGGGTGCAACCTCGCGTGCAAATCGACGGCAATATTCGTCTCCTCGCGAGATAAGGATAATGAGCATCTGATAGCGCGGGCAACGCAATTAACTTTAATCGATTCCGATTTTAAGGTCGTACCTGGTGTGGTACCCCGAATTCCCTTCCTCTCGTTCGAGATCTCGATGCAAAGATCGAGACCAAGGAACAAAAGAAACGAGAAGTCAGAGATGGAGAGGGATGGCGATACCGCAATTTTTACTGCCCTTTACCGCGCAGGCATTCAAGGCTCGCTTCTAAAAGTAATTACCACGAGCAGAGCGGGTATCAAAGAACACGTTCGAAAAGAGAGAGAAAGAAAGAACCAGAGAGGGAAAGAGAGACCATTGAATCGCCGGGACACACCGGATAATACCCGTCTGTATACGGCGCAACGATTAAAGCATTTCGTCATTATTAAAGATTGGTACGAGCAGTAATCATAGAAAATTGGATTTTAGCGATCGGGTCGCGGGTAATGACGGCAAACTCTTTCTGGGAGGGAGGTGTTGATAGTCGTCGCGTCGCGACGGAATAATTTGTGAAAATTTATCGCGATCGTCCCTGAGACGTTTCTTGTTTCTTGCCTATCGCACCGTGACTCGAACGATAAAAAGTGTAGTATATATAATTTAACTGTTTTAATTAAAATCGTAATTAATATTTTTTCTACATCTCCTTATATTGTATTTGTCAATATATTTATATTATATTTTTTATATTTTTTATATTTACACGAAGAGAATTTTCTCTCACAATTTATCCTGAAGATCATGGTAATCGTGGGACAATATAGTATTGGAAGAATTGTATAAGATTAAAATATTTATCACAATAAAAAATATTAATATGTATGTACATAGTAAAATTAATCGAACATATGCTATATCTTATTATGATAGATCTTAATATTTTTTATTGTGATAAAAGTATTAATCAGAGAAACTCTTATAAAATTCCAATGTCATATTATATCAAATAATTTAATCGATGATAAAGAATCGATTTCCACATCTGTCATTAATTACGCGAGCACTCTATTTAATAGCGCGAACGTTGATGACATGCGAGATGTTCGCGCAAACACGCGCAAACATCTCCGTAAATATCACGATTACATCTGTTACGGCTCGGTGACTGTTTATATGTTGTGCGAAACACGTCTTTGTGCTGGCCAGCAGCAGGTAAATCAACTTCATTAACGATGCAAAAGGTGCTGCGAGGCAATCGCGGACGAGTGATAACGAGCGCGCGACGAGTTATCAATACGCGCGCTATCCATTAAAAAACGATGCATTAACATATCCATGAATACGAAACGTCTTTTACAATCCGTGCGAGCAAACGCATTCATTTGCGGTCTTTCGTCACGCCTTCCCGAGAAAGGAACCGACTGTCAATTTGGGTTAATAACCGAGCAATACACGCCGACGATTCATCAATATGGATATCTTGCCGCCTATTGGCACTTTCGTTTATCTTTATCATATATTTTATATTTATTTTTTCCAACAAAAAAAAATCGCGGACATACAAACACGATATAATGAATCGAGCCTAACTAAAATAATGATATGTAATTTATATTCTAATAAGAAATTCGACATATAGATATTTAAAATTGATTATTTGCCGTCCGTAATTTCTTGTTCGAGAACACCTTAATGTAAGAATTACGTAAAAGTCATTATCGATTAATATGACGAAAATGAAAGTAACGACGATAAATTTCACCGGCGCGGCGGCGTTCTACCTGTAAATAAAATAATGTCACGCGTGTATTATATATATATAGAGTTTCGCGCGCGCGTAACTCTAAATTAAATTATTAGCACGAAATTACAGGTTGGACAATCGGTGTCTTATTACCCCCGACACTCAGGACACTATTGGTCTCGTCGACGATCATTACGAACCTAATTCGCGCGGCGATTAGTGACGGTGCAATAAATATGATTAATGCGGGACGCGCGTCGCGTATCGTTGCGCGCACTGCTACCGTGCGTAACTCTTTGACAAATTACGCGTCGCATCCGAAGGCGATTAATCATCGTGCGTGGCTCGTTACGCGCGATGCGATCCGCGACGCTATCGTCGGGAATAAATTTACGACTGACCGAGAGAGCGGCGATCCATTTTCATAAGAAAGTTCATTCGGGGGTTCAAGCATTCAAGCGCTAAATTTGTCCGAAAAATTATCTCTTTTAAATTTATATAAGGAAATCATGCATGTATAATTAAAATTTGCAACAGTCTAAAAATTTTACGATATTATAATTGCTCTATACACACACACATAGAGAGAATTTTCTCTTAGAATTTATACCCTGAAAATCATGGTAATCGTGGGACAATATATGGAAGAATTTTATAAGATATCTATCACAATAAGATATAAAATATGTTCGATTAATTTTTAATTATCCGCATTAATCATATAATTTTACATGTCTATATTAATATTTTTATTGTGGTAAATATTAATCAGAGAATGATTCAGGGTAAATTCTAAATGAAAATTCTCTTATACCATATGTATATGATTTCTTGATATTCTCATATCACTGAGTTATATAAAGTAGTTTATTTTATTAATGCAAGGCATACTCGGAATTGCTATTTTTATATATTTGTTCATTTATATTTATTTATAAGTACTTTTACTATTTAAACTTATAATCTCCAACAGAGTTTGCACAACTAAAAACTGTCAATAAAATTGCCAACAAAGTCACGAATCGATACTCGCCTCATGATTCAGGGTAAATTCTAAATGAAAATTCTCTTATACCATATGTATATGATTTCTTGATATTCTCATATCACTGAGTTATATAAAGTAGTTTATTTTATTAATGCAAGGCATACTCGGAATTGCTATTTTTATATATTTGTTCATTTATATTTATTTATAAGTACTTTTACTATTTAAACTTATAATCTCCAACAGAGTTTGCACAACTAAAAACTGTCAATAAAATTGCCAATAAAGTCACGAATCGATACTCGCCTCGCAAACGGTTTTGGATCGATCTCGTAATGCTCCGCGATGGGTCCCGTCTTCACCACTCTGGCGAGCTGCGTCTCCTGGACGAGGACCAAGCCCTCCTTCACGTGTTTCTCGCTCCACTGCACCCTGCATCTTCCCTTGCATCTCTCGTCATTAATCGTCCGCTCGTTCGCACGTTTCGTTTTTGCGCACTTGCCCGGGGACGCTTGCAGATTGCGATGAAGCGGTCTGGGAGACGTTTTCCTAGTGGACGACATCGTGGGCGCTTGGTGGCTCGACTGATAGATCATCGTGAATGAATCGGATCACGTATCTTCCGTCGCCCGTTTCGCCCGAAATGTCGGAGACTTCAACGCTTGGGTGCGCACTCGCGCAATTGAATTTTCCTCAAATCGAAGGGTCCTATCTCGACCGACCGGTCTTCGATTTTCCAACACTTTCGCGCTCGATCTCTCGATCGATCGCGGCGCGAGCCAAAGCGCGCGCTGTCATTCTATATTTAAATTGATATCTCGCGAGAAGTCGACGCGACGATTCGACGGTTCCACGTCGATCTTTCACATCTTTGCAAGCGAAGAAAGAGAGCAGAGACCGCGTGGCTCACGGTCCAGCGCTGAGGCTGAAACTGGCCGGCCGGAGTCAACGAGAGCACGGACCTCCTCCGCTTCTCGCTTCTCTCCGCTCCGCGATCTCTTCCTTCTTCGCGCGCCAGAGAGCAACGTCGTCCGACACCGAAATCCCCGAAGCTCCCTTGGATCCCCTTTTTCTCCTTCTCCTCTCTCTTCAGGGTCGGATCGCGATCTCCTCCCTCGCGGTCCAGCTTCGTAATTATAGGCGGACATGAAATAGCGCTTTAATATGCAAATAAAGTAGCGGGATTTGTTTTTTTTTCATTGTTGTTCTCGCATACGACTCGCGATTCGACAATTGTCAAGTATATACAATTATTAACGTTATTCCTTATTTTTATATAGAGAGTGGGGAAAAATTGGAAAGTGAAATTTTTAATTAATCTCTCGAATAATTCGCGAACATTGAAAATTACTGAGCCGATCGAGAATCTCGAATGGAGAATGGCAAAGATGTCTCGATTCTCGCGCGGAAATCGCACAAAGAGCATCCTCGATCGCGTTATTACGATCGACGCGACGACATGCAAGAGCCACTTCGGCAAGGAATCTAGAAAGGAAGTGGCAGAAATTCTCCCTTCTCTCCCCGCCATCCACCCCCTCTCCTCGAGGCGCAATTTATGCACATGCATAATGCACTCGTGGCCGGACATCTACGCTTGCGATCGCTGCGCGGCTGGATTCCACCTACGTCAGAGAAGATACTCCACAGCATCATACCATCGCTATCATTATACCACTGGCGCCGTGGATGCAATTAAAAAGTAATAGCGACATTAATAACGACGAGATATCCAGGAAGAAGCAAAAAAAAAAAAGATAATCTCGGACGAGGCTGGACCAAGCGCAGTCTCTTCCTCAACGTCATCTAAGATCTCCTGTAGATCGGTTCGATAAAAAATGTCTAAATCATTCTAAAAAGAAAACATAACTAATAACACGTATTCCGAATTTATTTCCGGATAGAAAGAGAGAGATGGTCCTTTTCATCTCTCGTAATCGCGATTTCGCATCGATCTGTTCGAGGAAGAGATCCGTGTTACCGGATCGACCTTTAACTTCTCTCGTTACAATAATAGAACCTGATCGCACGATAATTGGAAATTACCATGTCGTCGCGGCATGGCAGGTCACGAGAGAGCGCGCCAACAAAAACGCATCCTTCGGCGGATCTGCGTCGAGATGACCCGCGGGTTCGCGCGAGATAACCCGGAATAAACCCGCTCGCGATCGCGCGCGGAAAAGCGCGCGAAAGCGAGAATCGAGAGAGGCTGTCGCCGAGAGAAATCTTCCGAAGCTGTGTATTTTTCTTTTTTTTTTTCTTTTGGCGACTTGGCCTCACCTACGCCATTGCGGACGAGAGGAACAAACGTTTCTCGTCTCTCTCTCTCTCTCTCGGCGCCATCGGAGGACGGAGGCCAACCGATTTTTCGCTTGTTCGAAACACGTTTTTCGTTCTTTATTAGGGAGTTCTTTATTGCGAGCGATAAACAAAATTGCAAAAATGGTAATGCATTAATAAATGCACCCAAGGGTCGAATTATGAAATTGTGAATTTTGATTATTACACGGAGAGAAATTTTCTCTTAGAATTTACCCTGAAAATTATGGTAATTGTATGGGACAATATGCGGTATTGAAAGAATTTTATATTATTATGTACATAGTAAAATTCATCGAACATATTTTATATCTTATTATATTGTGGTAGTTATTTTAATATTTTTATTGAGGTACACATATTTTAATGAGAGAGACTCTTGTAAAGTGTTTCCAATACCATATCGTCCCACGATTACCATAATTTTTAAGGTAAATTCTAAGAGAAAATTCTCTCTGTGTATAAATGGATTTTGAAATAATTATTTACGTTTGTTCCTTTCAATTTTTGTTCCTTTCGCAATATATTATGGAAAAGTAGATCTTTGAGTTGAACGCGCGTGGGACTAATGATAATTACGCACATAGACCTGATGAGGGCGAATAGAAGGCGATGAGGAGAAAGTGTCGCTCGCGAATGCTTATGACCAAAGGGAGAATTTGCCGTCGGTGTCGCAAGGTTGCCTCGTTCAAATATATCCCGATGGACGTATCTCGTAAATTCGATACGAGTATCACTGGCGACTCTCGCTAATAAAATACGCCTCTACTTTACGTGTCCTTATCTCCTCTAATTATCCGTAAGTTAATATAGTGCAATCATAACGAAAGTTTCTCTCTAATGAGAGGAATCGTTACGAAGCGCCTTTATTATATACATCGCGGATAAAATCCAACTATCGGGACGGATTTTTCTGCGTAAAACGCAAAGAGGGACGACGCGCGTCATCGCATGTACGTACATATATCGAGAGTCGGATCGGAAAGAAAGGAAAAGGAACTGGTTCGAGCTGGTCGATCGAAGGTAGCTGAACCGCGAATAGACGAGAGCGACTTATCCTTGGCACGATCAGCCGAAGACATCTCGCGTACGGCGCTAATTGTCGGTACTAATTGCTTGTCACCGCGGATATTCGCACGTACGCTACTTCTACGTAAGACACCGAACACTCTTGGGGACCCGAGGCACGTATAGTGACGTACATATGTACATACACAGATATCTCGACGATTCCACAAAGGAGCGACAAAGAACATTCCGCGAAAGTTTGCGCAGACGGTGGTCTCATGGGTCTTTACGCGCGCGAAAACGGAGGCTGTGTGTTGTTGCCTCTTCTTCTTCCACTCCGTCGCCCGAGGTCCTCGACGATTTATTTTCCAAGACACGAGACACCCGGATAATCACATGACTGCCGATCCCACGGAGATCGCCTTCGTCTCTCTTCAGAGAATCCTAATATCGCGAGATTTAAAGTGAATTGAGAGTCTCTGGGGACGCAACACGACTTTTTTGCCTGCAAGTTTAAGATTACAATTTAATATATGCGTGTACATAAATATAGAGAGAGAATTTTCTCTTAGATTTTGCTCGAAAAATCATGGTGATCGTGGGACAATATGATACTGGAAGAATTTTATAAGTTTCTGATTAAAAATATTTATCTCATTAATAACTATACCACAATTAGATAAAAATATGTTCGATTAATTTTACTATGTATATATTATAATCTTTTTTGTGGTATATAAAATTCTTACCTTATTCAATACCATATATTGCCTTATGATTACCATGACTTTTAATTAAATTGAAAATTTGAAGAGAAAATTCTCTCATATAAAAATATACTTCTGTAATAAAAAATATTACACACACACATATATATATTTCATGCATTTATTATGTATATAAAATTTACTTCTGTGATAGAATCTTATTAAAGCCATTTATAATAATAACACAACTTTTATTAAAGATATGTTATTGCAAACGACTTTAATAAGATTCTATTACAGAAGCACACTTTTATGGTCGCATATAAAATGCCCGCAGTTTACGCTGCAAATTTCCTCGAGGATAAATTGCATTTCGCTCATTTCATCGGAGAAACATCGACTTCGAGAGGGGTCGACGATCCCGAATATCGATACCGTCGAATCTAAATTCGCGCTTCTCGATGTATACAAGCGGAGAGATGTGGCAGAGAACTCGATACACCGATAATATTATTCATGAGGCCTTCGCACGCGGCTGCCGGCAGGTATTAAAGCGAAAGGGGAATTTTAGCAGACGTGAATTCTATTTCGTCGACGTCGACGCCCGTCAACTGTCAACCCGAAGGAAGAGGAAACCCGCTATTTGCCCTTGACAGTTCAATATGAAACGAATCAGTCTAACTCGTGGAAAAGCAAAATTGTCTATTTCATCCAGTATTTTTCTCCAATCTTCGAAATCACATCGAATGTAAATTTTCCTCCGCGATCGTATTAATTAAAATAGTTAAATACGCGCAAGTAGCAGCACGTAGATAGACTCTTCGCGCTTATCTCGCTGTTTGGAAGATCGAAATGTCAAGTTTCCTGCTCGTCATCCGCCTCATTCATCGCAACGACTCGCCGTTAACTCGGAAAAGCCGCGGCGTTTGACAGGAGGAAAGAGAGACAGAGAGAGACGTGACAGACGCGAGGTCGGCTCCTACATCTCGATGCCGTTCGAAATCAATTATCCCTCGGAGATGAGGGGCGATATATACGTGCGCGCGCTTAATGATCTCTGTTTATAGGTTCGCCTCTACCGGGATGCAAGATGCAATAAATTTGTGCCGCGTCATTGTTGACTTTGATGGGGCTCGTTATTCGTAGCTCTGTCCTCGGCGCGATACGTTGACATCTTGGCGCGCGCAATAAAATCGGTACGTCTCACTTTCCTGCCGTCGAAGGGGATGTGGGGCGAAAAAAAGGAAATGGCGCCGGCGACCTCAACCGACCGAGTCTTCTTCCGGCACGGTTGCCTCGAGGGCGAAAAAAAGTCTTATCGTCGATTTACGAGCTTGACTGGGCGACCGATCGAAGGGAAAAGAGCTTCGGGCCTCCTTATTCCATTTCGAGCGCGCGCGAACACGTGGCTCCTTTTGAAGATTGTGACTTTTATCGTCGCGATGTAAAATTAGAATATCCCGCGAGAGCGATATGATAAAGGTCGAGGCGTACAAAGTGGAAACGCGTCGACTGTTTTTGCTGTATAAATATCCGGCGCGAACTCGTATTTATGCAATTTGCATAAATTAAGGGACTTATATATGTATATGTCGCGTCGGTGGCAAATTTCGAGAGAAAATTTTTCTATTTATACACAAGTACGCACATATTTTATCCAAAAGTCCAGAGTTTCAGCGATCCGCCAGCTCGTTTATTCGCGCGACGAAGGAGACATTCACGACGCGACAGCGCGTTTCGCGAGGAATGCAAATTATCGGCTACCATAAAAGATGATATGATGTGTGCGTACCATTCGCGCGTCACGTTGCACGTTGCACGTGCACGTGTTTCCTGCACGATTTACGATCTTAGAATTAGAGACAATAGAAACGAATAGGCATACAATAGATTCGAATCCCGCATCTAATAAGGGCTAAGGATTAATGTTCGGGTATTGTCCAGAATTTGTGACTATCTGTGTCCTTTATATCTATTCTTTATTTGAGAGGACAGTCCTTTATTTCAAGTAGCTGTTCTTTAGATTTATTCATTTTTCCAAAAATTATTTTATCCTTTATTTTTAAAATCCCTTGTCCTTTATTATATTTATTTAGCGTTTTAATGTACACAGAGAATTTTTTTTTTAGAATTTACCCTAAAAATGGTAATCGTGGGACGATATGGTATTGGAAGAATTTTATGAGTTTCTTTGATTAATATTTATCACAATAAAAAATATTAATAACTACCACAATAAGATGTAAAATATGTTCGACTAATTTTACTGTGTATATATTAATATTTTGTCTCACGATTATCATGATTTTCAGGGTAAATTCTAAGAGAAAATTAGTATTAACATGATAATTCGAATCAGTTTTAAACTATATGAATATGTAGTCTTCTGATAGTGACGGAATGATTATTTTTGGTCGCAAACTAATTTGGAAACATGTTGAAACAAAGCTTGAAAATTTTCAAGTTTGTCCTTAATTTTTTCTGAGAAAATATGGTCACCGCGGATATCGGGCAAGCAAAAGATTTTCCTTTACACCGATTCACGGATGAATTATAATCTCGGCTGTCGTCCGAGAGATTTAAGAGTCTCACGACTCCTTCCTCATTCTTGATTGTGGGATCTTACTTCCGTAAGAAATATACACGAATATCACAAAGGAAATTTACGAGGCTACGTAGTCTAAATTCGCCACTATCGTGAGAGCGAAAGTTATCGAAACTCGCACGAATCGCCTAAGGAAAGTCAAGATCGCGGCCTTAATCGTCGCGGCACGTGGTGTGCGAAATCCATCGGCTTGAAATTCATCGGCAGGATGAAATCTGCCTTGTAATTAGAGGCTCGCGCGCCGCATTTGTCGGTCTCCGTTTCGAGTTTCAGCGATTCCATGTGTGTTCCTTTTTTTTCTCTCCCTTTCTTCTCGACGCAGTTGCATGGGGCAACTCGCACCCTGACCTATACGCTAATTAACGAATTATCATTCGATACATCACGAGCGGCGCGACTTTATTTGGTCGCGCCAGGTGTTACGATCGGCACGCCGGCGTTGATTTAGCAATTTCTAGGCGCCACGAATCGCCAAGTAATCGCTCGTCGCCCCCGGCACTTTCCATTATCGGCATACTGAGAGAGGCTGGGAGTCCACGAAGGCCGTCGTCACGGTGGATAAAGTGGAAAGAGACACAGCCTCCTCCGTCGTCTCTCGTTTTCCTGCAAAATTCGATTCGCGGCGCGGATGAAAGCGCCGGGTCGAGCGTGGGAAATCTCAATTGAACCTTGCACCTCGTTAATGGAAACGACCCGAAAAAGGCTGCAACGAAATCTCTAATAATTCCGAATATCATTTCTGTCAACTTTGACAGATATAAACATCGTTGTACGTAAATGTCAATTTGCGAACTTTCTACAAAGTCATTATCGCTTCGACGAAAACATGCGAGGACTCGAATGAAATGTAAATAAGTCGGAAGTATGCTATCGTGTTTTTATCTACATTGCAGAAGATTAAAATTGATTATGTACGCCGTGAATTTCTGAATTTCTTGAATATGCAAGCGCGACGCGTGGGCATCTCCTATACGTCAAGGTGAAGTGGTTTTGTATATACGCGATTATATCACGTTTCATTCCCTCAATTGCAAAACGGACGCGATTATATAGCGAGCACACTGTTATTATCTATTAAAATGGCAGTATCTGCCTGTATCGGTTCTATTACGTAGTTGCACGGTGACACAATCGTATCAATATCAATGTATAATCGCGGTTTCTCCGTTTGCCCTGTGATCATTGCTAATATTATTCCGGCAGATATATATCGCGAATTATACAAACGGCGCGCGTTATATAATTTTATAATGGAGAAGGAGAGACCTCGCCAAGAATTCAATATAGAATTGCAATTTTTAATTATGTAAGAAAAAACATATTTCTCTCTCGATAATAAATTTCAAATTAAATTTTAATCGAGAGTCAATTAATTTGACGATGAAAAGAATTGTATTTCTTTTCAATGTTATAAGACATTTTCCAAATATCTCCGTGTCGCAGAAAGCTCTTTAAAGGTGAATCATCGTGGCAGCTGCGTCGCCGTTAATGTACACCTATTTATAGGATAAAAGGCGACGTTCTCGGAAAAAGTGTTCCATTCGCCATATCGGTAGGCAAACGCAGATCCAGGGCCGGTCTGTATCGTGATTTTAATCGGGCACAACACGCACACGCGCTCTCTCGCCACCTCAGCTTCCCTATTTTTAATCGCATTGCTATTCCACCCTACGGTGGTCCCGCGAGAGAGGAAACGTTGAATTATTTATAATAATGCCGGTAGGAACAACCGTCTGGCATTAATGCACGAAACCGATTCCCTGTTCATGCCCCGAGTGCATTGACCAATGCGTGTAACGCCAGGATTTCCCGAGGAGTTATTTACGGGAAAATGCAAATTTAATGCATAATTTAGCCTCTTGTCAAAGCGACGCCTGCTTATTCTTATTCTAAGTAACTTTGATTGATTCCGAACATTTATATAAAAAATGTATATACAGATAAAAATTTGTCTAGGGTCAAATATAAATTACTGTAACAAAATAAATAATTTAGAGAAAATTTCTTTGTTACAACTCTATTTCTATGTTCACAGTCGTTAGAGTGATGTGTCACGTGTAGCATCGTCTTCTCTCTGTTTTTGCTGTCGGGTGTTGGTAAGGGAGTCACTGCTCTGCTTCCTTCCTGACGATGGTCACCGTTAGGGAGACACTCCGACGGCCGGACGGTTCGAATAGGGAGGAGAATGATATTTAATTTATTTGCGGATTCTACTGAAGAAGACCCGAAGTGGGTCGAAACGTTTAGAATTTAATAAATGAGTTTGACTTGAGATCTCATTTTAATTTATTAATTTTGTGCATGTCATCCGCACAGGCTCCGATTGCCGTCGAGATTTTATTTTTATTGTAACACAATAATTTGAGCCGAGATTAACAGTTTGTTTTATATTCTATTTCTATGCATTCAATATGTAAGTATATCCTTTTGCTAGGCAACCCGTTCAACATAATATCTTTCTGTTAGGCAACCCGTTCGACATTGACGCATGTATGAAGAAATCGATAATCGATTATTCAACGTGAACGTATCGATAGCTCGATCTTGTTGGCGATAGGAATTTTGAAAGAAATTGGCGCTATACTTTCGATTGTATTGTTGCGGTTTTATTTCGTACGTATTATTAAAATTAATACAATGACAGAAGTATTTACAGGAGGTTTTTAGCAGCTATATGCGCGACTGTAACCTTCGCGATTAATTCCGATATTAATAATGTAATAATAATAATAATAATAATAATAATAATAATAATAATTATAATAATAATAATAATAATAATGATAATGATAATAATAATGTAATAATAGAAATGTATATAATATATATATAATAATTATTATAATAGAGATAATAATAATAATAATAAGGATAAAAGAGAATATTATCGGACAACGCAACGTGTCGCGCAAAAGACAAGAGACGACGCGTTCTCTCGCGAAATTGGATTAACACGAAGAAATAATGCGAAAAATCGATTAATTCTGACTAATGACATATCACAAAGAAAAAAAAATAAATAGTTGCGAATTTGCGCCGCGAGAGAAGGTAAGTCGGCTCGCTCGAATCGCGCCGTCCGTTCTGGCAAAATTATATTACAAGATAAATTCCGCTCTCTTTGATTTATTCGGAGACACATTCTCTCGAACGACAAACTTCCGCGCACAGACACGTGCACATACAACTCCAAAGAAAATGTGCGCGTTAGAATTGTGCGTGTTTATGGTGCGATGTATTTCATCCATTTTTTATTTTCGTGCAATCGTTCCTCCTGTTTTGATGATTTTTGCCAAGATTGCAAGAAACTATCGTAATCGAATCACGAGGTTGGAAAATGCTCGGCGCTTTCGATTCTCTTCGATTTCGCACGTAATATGATTGAAGCAGCCATTAATAAAGAAGAGACACCAAAACGTTTCGCTCGATATTTGCTTTTCGGTGATTGAGTTACGTTCGCGAAAATTCTACATTTTCATAGTCTAAATAGTAGAAATTTTTGAAACATAGTCAACATTTCAAAAGTATATAGTTCATTGAGAATAGAACCACCGAAAACGATATTAATTCTCTTTACGAGTAACATGCATGTAATAAAAAATTCAGATTGTATATATAATACATATACATATGTATATATATATTGCAAGATAATCTTTATATTATTAAAATATAAGATATGTATTTCTGGAAAGTTACTCTCACATCTCACGAATTCACGCAGAGAAACGTGCAAATTTCGAACAATGCTCTCATCCCAAAGCGAGACCAACCGAGTCCGTCATTCGCAACGCTCTCGTCCGCTCTTCTTTCCTTCCCTTGTCTCGTCTCACACGAACGAAGACACAGGTCGCTCGTTAGCGCGTCTTGCTAACGCGAGCGAGGTGAACGAAAATTGGGAGGTGCGAAAAAAGGGGGAGCGAGCGTGAGAAAGAGGACGTGCTTGCGCTTATGACTAGCATTCGTTTGCGCGCGATAATGAATTCCGCAGATATAAATTTCTTATTATGGCGATTTGCGTTCTTACGAAAACTCGGAGAGCAGACGAGAGAAACGATATCATCATCTCTTTACACTTTGCGCGCGACACGGAACGTCGCGCAGTTTTAAAACAGGAAGAATGTTGATTCTAAAATAGCAATAATTGGCATTTAACGAAAAGACAAAAAAAAAGAAAAAATGTATACACTCGATATGGCTCATACGTGGAAACGTTTCTTCTGACAACGTGATACGACGAGAGAGCCCAGGTTTTCGGTGGTTCGTACAAAGAGTTCATTGACATCTGAAGGGCCCCGCATTGTTAGCCTCCTCCGCCGAGGCCATAAGCGAGCTAACTGGAATTAGAGACGCCTAGAAATCTCGTCTAGACTCTCAATTTCGATCTCACCGCGAAGTCGCGCGCAATTAAGGCACTCTTCACACCACAGACATACATCCTCCCTTCTGTATACATCGCAGTCTTGTGACCTGAAGAATCTTGGACAAAGTAAACATAGGCACTGGAGTATTTTGCGCGCACGCATTATGATCTTTTCTTAGGGAAGGCACCGGAAGTGTATGTATATATCTTGATTGTCGCTGATGGTCGTTAAATACAACGATCAATTAAATATGGCGATTTCAACGGAATCGCGCGCGATGCACCAAGATTGCGATGTCGGAAACGCGAGATCAACTTACTTAAAAATCGGATGTTTTAACTCCAACAATCCCGCTATCAATTGTAATGTTGATATATATGTATATAAACGTGATAACTCGTTAATAAATAATCCGTTTCTAAAGAAATCGTGTCTCAAAAAAAGTTAGGTCTTCTTCGAAGTTATAACATCGCTCCGAGTAAAAAGTACCAACGCGTCTCGATCTCGTCTTGGTGCATACGCACGTGATATGCGGTTCGAGCTACCGTCAGCTTGAAAGAACGGTCGGTCAGTCTATTGATAACGGCAGGCTAAGGAGAAGCTGCCTCGCTCAAAGTATTTTTTCGGGTGCTCGCGGTTTCGGACGCACATTTACATTCTGTCGGAGATTTGACGAAAATGCGTTTTCCATGCAATGGAATTCATCAGCGTCAGGACGATTTCGTTCGAATCTCTATTTGTCCAATCCGCGACCACCCTCGTGATTGGGATGATTCGTCATCCCTTCTCTGATTATTCGATATATATGTACATCAAGACCATCCTTTTCGAAGCCGCTCGCTTCACGAAGAGCATCAGTATACACACACACACACACACGCTTACACACGCACACACTCACGCGCGTTCTCACGCACTCATCCGTATTTACAACAGCCATTTGTTCGCTTTGATATGATACAAGCTACGATCTCGGCACCTTTGCAAAGGCACACGTGTACAGGCACGTGGATTCCGCGATACGTTTCGCGCTCTCACGTACAATCTCGGATTCCCGAGGAATCCGGCGAAAATCGGGTCAGGGGCTTCGAGAGGCTGTTGAATGATTCTGGAGATCAGGCTTGTGTGGCGCTGCGCGCAGAATTGTTTGCTCTTTGCTAAGAAATACTGTTTAGTATTACATCTCGCGATTGAATTATACGCTGCTTCTTCGCACAATTTCCCTCGGTTAGATCTTACAAACATGGATTATCTTTATTCAGTTATCGACAAAAATGAGAAGCAAACACACCGTGTTCTCCATGAATTTCCGCTAACGCTATCACAGCATTATGTGCTTTACGAAAAACAGACTTAGGAATAATCCCTTGTCTCACGTACAATTGTCGAATGGCACATGGTACCGCTCTTTCTCTCTCGATTTTACGATCCTTTACCACGACAATCGAATAAACAAAGAGAATTCAAATTCATTTTTCGCAAAACTCATATAATCCTACATATTTTTATTTTATAGAAAAAAAAAAAAAAACGTACGCGCAATCTCCTGAATCTTTCCGAGAAACTTCTGTCGTCACAGCCTTCAAAAAAAAAAACCTCGAGGAACTTTGCCCGTCTCTTTTCTTCCCCATTTTTTGCTTGATTTCGCACGTCGTCCCTCGGGTACGCAAAACCCTCTCGTTGCTCAAAACCTCCTCTCCCTTCCCTTTCCTTCCGCCTTACTGTACAGATAATTATGTAATATGTACATTCGCCTCGAGCTCCCGATCTTTCGAGGAAGATTCGCCAGACGTCCGGCGATGAATACAATTCAACATGAACACCTGCGAGAGAGAGAAACGATCTTACGAGGCTTTGGGTTGGAACCGGCGAATCCGCGCCTGCACCGATTCGCACTGCACCTCGCAATACCTGGTATACCTGCCGGAGCGAACGGGCTCTCTGATCACCACCAGATTCCCGCTTCGCTCGCGGAGCGCCTCAAGGCCGGCCTTGCTGGCGCCGCCGCGTAACGCCGCCGTCGGCGGCGTCGGGATCTTGGCGATCTTCGTCCCGCCGGAAGTGGCTTCCGACGTGAAACGACTCAGGGCCTTGCTGACGACGCCGCTGCACTCGCGCGGCCACACTCGGTGCGCGGTGCGATGATGCCTCTGCTGTTCCCACCTGTCGGCGCTCGCGTCCGCGGCGGTGAACGGATAACTCGCTCTACCCTGACTCTTGCCGTACAGGATAAAATCCAGGGAGTCGTCAGAGTAGATGCTGCTACGATCGCTCGAGCTGTCGGTCGAGATCTCGGAGACGGTGTCGCTGCCGCTGTCGCTGCTGCTGCACTGCTGTTCCGCTTCGCCGAGGATGAAGACGGGCGTGCACTTGAACACCTCGCCGCCGCCCGCGGGCATCGTGTGGGTGGCGGTGGCGCGACGCTGATGAGCCACGCCGACGGATCCGTTGTTCCCCGACGATCTCGCGGACGACGTCTCGATTATGACGATTTCCGGCAGAACAGTGCCGGAAAACTTTCGCGCCAGCGAGTCCATGTTTCTTTTGAAGGTGTCCCTGCGATCCGGGCTCAGGCCAAATCTGATGGGCTTCGGCGACGATCTCGAGGTCGAGTACAGGTTCTCCGTGTGCGAGGAGACGGCGCGCGGACTCATCGGCTTCGCGCAGGATTCCGTAGGACTGTGGCACACCCCGGTTGTCGATGATCGATGATGTTGTTGCTGCTGCTGTTGTTTCTCGCCTTCGCTGCTCTTCGGGGTCGACGACGTGTTCGGGGACGACGTGGTCTGACCGTTTACGATCGGTAAGGGTTTCGACGAGGAACTCTCTCCTTGGGAGTGCGCCGCGGAGTCCGCCGCGGGACTGTCGTCCGACGTGGAGCACGTCGTCGAGGGCAGCGGCGCCGATGGCTGCTCGAACATGTTGAACCAGGGATGTTGGAGGCACTCGGTCACCGTCAGGCGTTCACTGCGAACAGACAAGAGTCGTTTACTGGAAGAGAGAAATCTTTTCAAGACTGAAGAATATATCGATTCGATATAAGATTCCACTCGACTGGGGATTTCGATAATCTGATTTTTCCGATAATCCGCGTTGGAAAATTGTGAATGAAAGAGGCTTGAGTTGGCTATTTCGATACGTACGGTGCTCTTGAACGCTGTATATCCCGACATAACAGGCTCGTTCCGCGAACGACTCGTTCTCGTCATCCTCGTTAACTCGAGGAGCGAAAGTGTCAAAGGGTTAAGAGACCCGTCACATAAACGGCCACCGCTAAGCGGACGGTGGCCATCATTGCGGGGACATTTTTCACGCGGTTGTTCTTGTACTAAGAATGTGCATGTACCGTATATCGCGTAAAACATGTCTAAAGTATCAACCGACTTCCGGCATACGTATACGGTCACCATCCGTTTTTTAGAGGACAGTTCTTTATTTCAAGTATGGATTTATTCTTCCAAAATTCAATTTTATCTTTTATTTTATTTTATTATTTATTTAACGTTTTAATGTCTAATGTACGCAGAGAGAATTTTCTCTTAGAATTTACCCTGAAGATCATGGTAATCGTATATATAGGACAATATTGGAAGAATTTTATAATAATTTCTCTGATTAATATTTATCGCAATAAAAATCTTAATATCTACCACAATAAGATATAAAACATGTTCGATTAATTTTACTATGTACATAAGAATATAAAATTCTTCCAATATCATATTGTCCCACGATTACCATGAATTTCAGGGTAAATTCTAAGAGAAAATTATCTCCGTGTATGAAAATAACGGAACCTCTTATTCGGAACTAATTTAAGAAACCAAAGATTTATTTCAACATTGTCAAATTAGTTTCAAACTAGAATACGTAATAAACTTCTGATAGTCACAGAATTATTTTTTTTACTCGTTGAGCTTCACTTTGATTACAAACTAATTTGGAAACATGTTCAAACACAGTTCTTAAAATTTTCAAGTTTGTCCATTATTTTCTCTCAGAAAATATGAACGCAAAATGTCTTCAAATAACAGAGTAACAGATTGCATAATCACGTAAATTATGCCATGGAATGTCAGTCCTCCATCATGGAACTAAAAGAAGCTTTAGAGGTTGACTTCCTCTTCCCCCTATTCACTCTTAACTTCCAAAACCCGGACTCGAGCAAAAAAAAAAATGCTTACACGAGCAAAAGTTTGCTCGTATAAGCAAATTCTTCCACATCATTCATAAGAGTTTACATTGCTACAGTTTTAGGTCGGACAAAGTCTGCCACTGAATAGATTGACGTAATAATTCCACGAAGAAATGTGGAAGCAAATAGAAAAGTAACTGACATGGCGCAATTATCGCGATTGCGATAAACAAGTTTTGTAGATCGCGCCTTGTGTTACATTAAATCGTCACGCTTGTCTCATTTACATAATAATAATAAATTGATTGTTTGCATAGTTTAAGTGAATAACTACATGAGTAACCGAGAGTGCGAACGAGCGCGATCATTAATCTAGAAAACATTAATCTCAATGCAAACGACGCGAACTTGAAAAAAAGTTAAACACATAAATTTAATTAAAAAATGTTTTTTTTTTCTCCACACATCGTAGCTGTCTTAATTCCGGTTGTTCAGCTTCCTCGGGCCTAAAAACACGGTAATTCATAGGTCAGCGAAGCGGGACGACCGCGACACATAACATTGTTGGACGTGACGATAAGACATGCGGGTTTCGCACGATAAAGCAGCTCCGGAGAGGAAGGACGTGGATATATTCCGGATAGCCGACTTCCTCTCAGCTGTCCGCGCGATAAGGGAACCTACGAGTTTTTCAGCGGAACTCGCGCCCTCCTCGTTCTACCCGCTTCGAAGAAAGTCGGCGCCGTTTCGTTCTTCTTATGCCGCGAGACCCCGACGATGACAGTTGCTATCCTCTCGGCCGGACGAGCTAATAAATGCATCTCGGCGGAATCACAGTGTCGTCATTGTGCAAGGGTATAATCCGCGAAGCGTCAAGACGGCCTTTGAGAAAAACGCGAAACTACTAAATGCGATTCGAGGAAGACGGTCAAGTTGAGAGACTAGTAGATTAAATTCGAAATTTATTATTATTATTAAGCAAAATTATATTATATAACTTTCAATCATAATTTAAATTTCGTTTTTGTTCTACATCTCCTGATATAACCAAATATAATTAATAATGAAAGTTAAACCCGAAGATTGAAAGTCTTTAATTAGAATCTGTATCACGGAGATAATTTTCTCCTACAATTTACCCTGAAAATCATGATACTCGTGAGGCAATATAATATTGAAAGAATTTTATAATAATTTAATATTTTTTTCTGCGATTAATATTTACCACAATAACAAATATTAATATATACATAGTAAATTTTACTATGTACATATAGTAAAATTAATCGAATATATTTTTTATATCTTCTAGTAGATACAAATATTTTTTATTGTGATAAAAATATTAAACAGAGAAACTCTTATAAAATTTTTCCAATACCATATTGTCCCATAATTTTTCCATGATTTTTCAGGGTAAATTCTAAGAAAAAATTCTCTCTGTAATTGTGATTTTCTTTCGTTTTTACGTCGCATCTCACATATATAATTAAATAAAATTAATAACGAAAGTTAAAGCCGAAGCTCGAGAGTCTCTAATTGGAACCTGTATGATAAAAGATCCACGAACAGCTGCAGAAATCTATGGACACATTCCATCTCGTCGAGATTCTCGCGAATGACTTTCTCTCGCGATTAAATCTCAAAGATCTCGCGTGTCACCGATTCCGAAGCAGATCGCGCTTTAACACCGGATCGTTCGTCGTCGACGATGTCGTCGTCTCGGTTACAGGCACGGAATGTCACCGGTTGCAAACGATATACATGACGCGATTGTTTTCGTTCTAGGAAATCGACATAACATACCGACATACATATGTAGGTATATAAAATAACAACGTAATCAACGAGCGAGTACAAGTATCCGTTTTCGCTTCTCGAGATAAGCGCCGGACCTTCTCGGTAGATCGCTGCAGCCTTCCGTGAAGGAGACTCACTTCCACTCCGGTCCAGGAATTCGGCTTCTCCGATGACTTCGTCCGCCCTTTGAAGACGAGCCACGCGAGGCTATGAACTCGATCGACCGAGAAATACGACGCAGAAATTACGGCGGGTATAAACACGACGTGGGTGTGTAACTTAATTCGCGACGTCTCGATCGCGTCGAAGTAACGAATGGAAATCTTTCGAGCCGAGTCAAGTGGAGGATATGAAGATAAATGGCGACGAGTGACTCGGGATGATCAATGAATCTCTCGCCGTCGCGCGATTGGCGGTCTACGACTCTTGCTCGAGCACTTGAATATCAAGAGTTACGTTTTTCGAATCCTCCTTTTTCTCTCGTTTATCAATTTTTTTCTTTCACTTCTGCATCGATACGCGCATTTTATCGTGCTCATCTTTTTGAAGTCGAACTTACCTCGGGTCCTTAACCATGAGCTTGCGCATGAGATCGCGCGCCTCCTCGGAGACGTCCTCGAAGAGATCGTCCGGGAAGTCCAGGCGACATCGACTGATGTTGCAGAACGTCTCCTGTTTGGTGTCGCCGCCGAAGGGCGAGCATCCCGTTAACAGCACGTAGAGTAAAACGCCGACGGACCACATGTCGGTCGCCAGGCTGATAGGCTCGTAATTCAGGACCTCCGGAGCTGCAACACAGACAAGGACGTTTATACGAGCACGGACAAAAATTGGCTACCGTAGCTCATTTTTAAACTGTCCCTGCAATTTTAGTTATCTACATTTTAGCTATAGAATTCTCTGCTGTTAAGCTGCGTCCTCACTGAAGCAACAACGAGCAACTTTTTGTTGGTGTTCCATGTTTCTTCAAAAAGTTGCTCATTGCTGTTTCAGTGAAGACATAGCTTAAGGAACTTCAAGAAACTTTCGGCAACAACTAGCAACTTTTTTACGAAACATGGAACATCAACAAAAAATAGGTAAAAAATATTAACTCTCATAGCTAAAATTTAGACATCATAACTAAATTTTATGTTTGATAGAGGGACAGCTAAAATTTAGCTATAATAGCTAACTTTTTTTCACGAAGAAGCCCAGATCCCCTGATGCATTAAACCCTGATGCTAGAAAGTGCGAGTAATTAAATCCGAGAAAAATAACTCTCTCCTCTCTCGGTCTTTTCGTCATTACGACCGCTATTACGCCGCGCCAATTTACTTAATGGAGTTCGCGCGCACGTTCTCTCTTCAACGGGATAATAATAATCGTAACTGTGGACGTATTAGGCTCTGTGCACGTGGATGCTCGACTACTCGTTCGTTGCGTAATATAAACGCACGAATCGCCACTTTGTATCGGCTCGTTTCCGACTGGACTCGCGTCAGTTTTTCCGAGAGCCAGTCTCTCTTTCCTTGGTCCGCATCCGGCTCCGTTTAATCGTCGCGAAGATCCGCGGACTATTTTATTATCTCGCTAATTTCCTCGAATCACTTCAAAGCTGACACTAACTGAGCGATTAAAATTAACGAGCAAGGAAATAACGATCGAAATTTTTTTCACTCGGAGAATTAAAAGGAACCAAGCTATATCGTATCTTTTTTTTATTCAATCTTATGACGTAATCTTAAGGTTATTCCCCTTTGGCTAATTTCGCGGTTCTTGAAACAATGATGATATTTCTCTTTTTTGTTCAAGACAATTTTAGACGGCTTTGTAATCATCCCGAAGCCGGTAGATCGAGGTGTCTTGATCTTTTACGTTTCTCGTATGACTTGCGATTACCTAACACCACTTGGGACGGAGGACCGTTAGCGCGATGCGTAATTGCGACGGCAATCGTTGCGAGGATCGTAAAAGGTCCCTTCTGACAGATCGGGAGAACCACGTGCGGTTCTTCGAGCTAGCCGCGAAGTGGCTTGTTCTGTTCAATTATGCAAGGCGGCTGTTTTTCCTAATGGGACACCGCCGCGGACAAATGCTACGAGGCGTATCAGGCCGAAAGAAAAGCGCGTACGAAACACAAAAGTGTGAGAGAAGAGTCTCGCTAAATCTCTCGAATCGACTCGCCGAGAGGCCAGAAACCGCACGCGTTTCTCGCCGACCTTATAAGGTGCCGCGTGAAAACGGGCACTCGCTACATCAGTAGGATCGTGCGGCGGTATTTACTCTAAATGACGCACAGTTGCCGAGGTGTTTAGGCAAACGCGGCAGGTGTCGGGTACGGTTATAATCGTTTTCGCGCGAACAACTCCCGAGGAGATTAGCGCGAAAGTTCTTCTGCCTCAGTCACGTTTTCGCGGTTTTCGCAAACGACACGCTTCGGAGTAATCTTGGCAAAGATGGGGTACGCGCGCACACACACAGGTAAGTAAGAGTGAACTCACCAACATAGTCGGGCGTGCCCAAAATCTCTCGTATGTCCGCTCCGTGGCTGATGTACCGCGATATGCCGAAGTCGCATAACTTTACGTCGCAGTCCGGGAATTCTCCAGTAAGTACCAAATTTTGCGGCTGAAACATTCAAAAATATGCATTGCATTGTCAAATTTATATAAGATATTTTATATGTTCATCACTTTTTTGGCATCTATTCTACTTAAAACACTTAAAGAATCATAAGTTTTTAATATATTTTAAAATTATTGAAATTTTACTATATATGTATATATTTTAGTAAAATTAATCAAACATTTTATATCTGTAATAGATATTTATATTTTTTATTGTGATAAATATTAATCAGAGAAACACTCTTATAAAATTCTTTTAATACCACATTGTCCCACGATTACCATGAATTTCAGGATAAATTCTAAGAAAAAATCCTTTCTGTGTATTATTAGATACTAAGAGCTATCAAAATAAAAAAGAAAATTTATATATGATTTTTTTATCTAATAATATACAGAAAGGATTTACATATATATAATTTCGAAATTAACGCCTGTAAAATTCACGGAGAAGGTAAGAAACGAGCGGTTTATCTCGCGGTGATCTCCCGCGACAATGTCAATTTCCTGCCGCGAAATAATATGGAGAAAGTGAAGCTTCTTTTCTCAAAGCAGAACGCAATCCAGTATACTCTCTTTTCTTCGTCGGTATAACAGACGGACAAAGTTACGGGTCGGATCGGGTGTTTCGTGGTCCCAGCCAATTATCACGAGGCACGCAAGAAACGGACGGAGATCGCGGTATTTTTCTTTTTCCCTTCCCCGACACTCTTGAGGAATTTCGGCGCCACCATGCAAATATACGGCAGTAAATTACAGCGCAATTATAATTATATTGTACCTATATATATATATACGTGCATCTTCAAGCTAAAGTCATGCGATCATTAGTTCGCGATACGCGTTTCAATTTTAGCCCGGTAGCCCTCGAGCGCATTCTACTTTGGCGGAATTTTAATTCGGATCTTAATTATATCGAGAGAGTTACGCCCGACGTGCCTCGCAAAGTTTCGAAAAATAATAACTTCCGCGTCGAGGCTGCGCGATAGAAATTTTTTTACACGCGGCGCGGCGTATGATTAATCGCCGAAGAGCGGCGAGGCAAGGAAAGAAAAGGCGATTGCGGGGCAATTTTCGACGATCAAGTGTGGTAGAGAGAAAAAAGAGGATGCGATCCAACAGCCACATTACAATAACCCGAGAGAGCCCGCGTAGGCGTCTCGCATCATCATCCGCATCATCGTGCACGAGGTAATGCCGATGTAAACGATTCCACGATAAGAGAGAAAGGTCGTCGCGCGGCCTAGGACGAGCTTAGGATCTTGGATGCCCACACGTCGCGTTTTTCCCATCTTACCCCTGGAAAAAACAATCGAACGATCTGAAGAGGCCACGGCGAGGCCAGTAGACGATCGGATCAGGGAGATCAACGAGAGGAGAAGCCTGTTGCCGGTCCATTGTCAACGCTTCTCGACTGGTTTACGACCACCTAGGTTGCCCGACAATTATGTCTTCAGTACCGGGTCGCGACTCTTAAAGGACGCCATTACCGAGACGCTTTATTAAGCTGCGTCCTCACTGGAGCAACAACGAGCTACTTTTTGTTCATGTTTTATGCTTCTTGAACAAGTTGCTACTTATAGCCGAAAGTTTCTTAAGCTATGTCCTTACTGGAGCAACAACGAGCAACTTTTTGTTGCTTATCGTTGTTAAATATAAAATAATTCGACATTTGTCAACTTGCAACATTTTGTCTACACTGAAGCAACATAATTATAGAAACATTTGGGTTTTGTTCCTATTCCCGTTTTAATCCCCCGCGATTGTGTCACTGAAAATTGAAAGAATATTTTTTCTTTTGCAACTTGTTGACGCGTGTTGCAAATTTTTCTTTTATTTTTACTGCTTCGAACGGACACTATAGAATAATTTAAATTTAGAAAATTTAAAATTTAAATTTAGCTATAGAATTCTCTGCTGTTAAGCTGCGTTCTCTGAAGCAACAACGAGCAACTTTTTGTTGATGTTCCATGTTTCTTAAAAAAGGTTCTAAAAAATTGCCGAAAATTTCTTAAAGTTTCTTACTGTCTCTGTTGCCAACAACAAAAGATGAGATAAAAGATTTATAGATAAAAGAAAAATTAGCAACAAGTCACAAAGAAATAAATATTTCGTCAGTGTGGACCTTCAATTTTCAGCGATACTGATGATATTAATTATTTTGAAATATTTAGAAACGAGAAATAAAAAGTTGTTCGTTGTTGCTTCAGTGAGGACAAAGCTTTAAGGTAGAATCACATGGTGATCGCTTCTCTCGATTATCCGCAAGAATGAAAGGTGGAAGGGTCATCGTTGTTATATTAAATGCCTTTAACTAAGCACACCCCAACGGTTCGAATTACTCTCGTAAAGCGAATCTTCGCAGAAAGGCAATGGACCAACTGTATATTTCGTTCGAATCCGAGCGCAGATGTTTGCCCGAGTGCAATTTGCGAAGGGCCTAATAAAAGAGTGCGGATCGCAATTACGTTTATGAGAGTGACAAAAGTCGTCGGGGCTACTGACGGTCGTAAAAAAGACGTCGACTCAATTAGAGTAAGAATAAGGGGATACGAAATATATGGTCCTATTCAAGGTTCGTTTATTGCCGTATTAATAATATCGCGCAATTAATATTTTTGGCACGTAGTTTTTATGAAACTAAAATCATATCAAGACGCAGCAATAACATGCACCCCATAAAAGTGATACAAGTAATTGCTACAAGTCGAATTATCCATTAATATAGCGCTTGTTCCTGCGAATAATTATTCTTTATGGTAGAAAATAAGTTTGTAATTTCTGCGATTAAATTTTTAATATATCTTTCATACATATCGACAAGGGATGATGGATCGTTAAGAGCTCGCGCGTAATTGATATTAATATAATTTTCTGTAACAAATCTGTACACATTACGGGGACACAATAACGCAGTTGAGATGACATAAATTGCAGGCAAGGCATCGAGGATCCACGACGTAGTAATGAAGATTGAAGACTTAACGCTAAATTCAAATAAGGTTATTATCCTTATCGCGAAATGATGCGGAATTTGCATGATCGATGACACCATTCTCTCTAAGGGCCGGCGAAGAAATTGCGATTCGTGCTGGTAACATCGTATCCCCCTCCCCCTTTCAACCCCTCTTTCTCCCTCATCCTTCGCGACGTAAAGTTGCTTACATTTAAATAACGTCCGTGAGCTTGCAGAAATTTTTTCGCGCATGATCGATGACACGAGGCCCTCGGACGGAGATTGCGGTGCAAGATGCATACGAAATGCGATCTCTCGGGGACAATTTTCCTGGTAATCGATCGGCTCGCCCACGCCCAATTGCCACGTTAAACAGCGACGTTCGAGAAACACACGAGAGCTGACGTACGAGAGCTCCTCCGTTAATGGTTCATTATGGAAATGTCTTTGTTCCTTATTAGGCCGACTTCCTGGACTCGCGAAATCGACGTGATCCCGAATTGGTTTCTGGGTGCACGCGCAGAAAGGAAACTTGCCGCGACTTGGATCAGCTTCCGGAGTCTGCCGCTGATCCAATCTTCACTCGACGTTTCAATTATCCGGAAGCGAAATCTCGTGTAATCATATATAAATGCGTGAAACACAATGAGACATTAATCGCGTAACGAGGTTTCACCATCAATTACGTATCGCGGATATGTGAATTAATTTTTTATGCATATTATATATATTAATCAAAAATAAATACATATATATAAATCATCGTTATTTCATTTATTATACTGTAGTTTCCAGATACAAATCTGAATTGTCTGCCGTGTTTTCGAAATTATATAAGATTGAATAAATGAATAAAAATTGGGATGACGAGGCGCACGAAAATCGAGAAATTAGGACGATGTGTTTTTTTTTTTTTTCGGTCTCGTTCCGGTCGAAATTTCGAAATTTCGAAAGAAAGAAACGTGACGCAAAGAAAATGACCTGCGACCTCGCGACATCACGAAAGGCTTTAGAATCGCGTTATTCGTCGAGTATCTCGAGTAGCTCATGACGAAGCCCGGTCACGTCCGTCTCGTAACTCGGTTTAACGAAACGTAACACACAAACTGAATCCTCGAACGAGCCCGTCTGCCTTTGTTGCCTCGACACTTCCTTTTGCCACAAGAAACGTTTCCATCCGCAATAAATCCGCGCTCCAAAAATTTCAATAATTACGCGAGCCGAATTTAAATTCTCGGTCATTTTTCTAAAATCTTTCTCATACATATAGTATACAAAAAAATATCTCACGCGAATCATCTATAGAAATCGTGATCGGAATAATAATTTATTTTGTATTTAGTATTTAATTTGCATGAAAGCGCGATTCAAGCATGAAATAAAGACTCACTCCTCTCGATAAACATGTTCTCGAACGACGAATGGAGTAGTTGCAGCTGTCTATGAGACAGCTTTGCGTACCGGGGTGCATTTTTTTTTCGAAAGGACGCGTTTCAACGTTCATTACGAACGCAATCCCGCGTCACTTAATTCAACGCATTTAATAAACGATTCTCGATCGTGCGCGCGCGCTTGTCACGTAATCAAAGTAATTAATCGCGTCGCCGGTTCTCTCTTTATCGAGCCGATTCGAGGTGCTTTGGTTTTTCTTATAACAATCTCTCTTAAAGCGCGCGCATTCTTGGAAAACTTGATCTTTTCAACGCGCGAGATACAGAGTAAATTGAGTGCAAAAAATATTTTCTTTGGCTTCTTCGTTTCCCGAACGCGATATCGATCACCTTCCGAAAAATGTGCGTGAAAATATGTCTACAGAATCGTGCGTAATAAAATATATACTACATACTGACAATTCGAATATCTTCTCGCTCGATTAGTCTCGAGCGGAGAGATAAAGCGTGACTGGATCAAATCGATCATTCTTGCAATTTTTTTTTGTTCCCAACTGACATGCTTCCTGCAACATGCCATCTATATTTTACCGTTCTTGCGCAATCTTGTATAATACAAGTTCTATAAAGGCCGCGGAGAGTCTTGACGTAATA